ACTCATACTACATAACGCTCTCACAAAAAGAGGCTTACACACTCGATAAGTAAAGACAAATCCTCCTTAACTCTTGCGATACTATGTTACTGGGAAATAAGCGAGGGACTAAAAAGCCTGTAGTAGACATTAAAAGCATCACTATTCTAGAACTAGAGGAATAGAGAGTTTTGACGTAGACGCAGAATAAAGACAGCTGTTTCCTACCGCTTTTAATAACTATCGTGAAAAAAGGCATAGCATTTTTTTGACGTAATATTCAAGTTTCACGACGGTGGCTAGCAAAGAAAGTGAACTAGAATAGTCGCAAATAATAGTAATAGGAAGCAGATAGTTTGGCTGGTTATCACAACCTATGTAGGTATATGTATGTCTAGGTTAATCGGCATTTTTGGTGCCATTCTTGTGATTCAGGCGACGAAAGGAAGGGGGTTATAATCATAGTCGGAGGTGCGTTTCAATCTAAAACAAGTGATTTATATCAATGTTAATCGCGCGAAGGACGCGCCTGTGTAGTAAGCTTCAAAGTAAGAAAAGAGATCTAGGCAGTGGTGTCTTAGATATACAAGCATAGTAAGCATATAGAGAAATACACGTACTACCCATATAAAACAACCCATCGCAACAATTCAAAGTTAAGATCGTACCTTCCCCTTAAACAATTCCCAGCACCTCTCCCTAACAGTTCCCCCAGTCTTACCCACATTCCCCGTCGTACTTTTCATCCCCAAAAAGAGCGAGAACCCCATCGATAGGGCAAAAACTTTCACCGAAACGGGAACTCGGTAACGAACAGAGTAAGTAATTTACCAGTACTTGTACCACAAGATATAAGGTTCTGACATCCTTCGTTACAGGAACACGCACGAAGGATTCCAATCTCACGTAAACGCTACTGCTATACCACATCCTCCTATTGTCAAAATGGGAAATGGGAGGAATGAGAGTCGCACACCGGTGCTTCTTTGTGCGAGTTGGTAGGTAGTATTGGATATAGGTAAGTAGCCGAGTTACCCTGCCTACCTTTTGAGTACTTCTTTGGGCAATTGGGTGAAATTTTGATATTTGTGTGGAGGGATATGTGTAAAGCAATGTGTAAGCTTTACACATATCGCTATTATATTGAAAGTGAAAGGGCGTAGCTTCCAAGTCTTTCTTTTCTTTGCTTCTCCTTCCTCCACCATCCCACAGACGGGGCTCTTTCTTGGATTCGCCGTTCAAGGCACAACCAATAAACACCGTCCACCCCCCATCCCCCCATCTTATATCACACTCAACTCTCAAGCTTCCACGTCAAACCCCTCGTTCCCAAGTAACCCCACCATCCCTCACAAAAGACACCATCACAACCCAAGACTCGGTCCCCCCGAGAACGCGGGGGCGGGAACCTAGGAGACCCTTCTCAAATTCTCAAATTCTCATATCGAAATCTCCGATTACCTAGACAATCCGCATCGAGAAGTTCCAATACCTGTTTAATTTACGAGGTATAGATTAGGTGAGTGAAGTTGCGATAGGAAGTTTAGAGTGTTTAAGCTTTATTGAGATCGTTGAGGCTCTTGTAGAGTTTGGACCCTGGGGAGGAGTGCCGGTGGGTTTTGAACTTTATGCGATGCCCCCTGAGGCTGAGAGGAATACCGAGTCGAGGAGACTTCTCGAGCTCGCTCGACTTGCCTTGTTCTTGTTGCGCTATGGTACAGTGATATGGCGAGAAATGGCCCGAGGTGAGAAAGGAAGGAGTGACTGTTCTTCCTCTACCCTAGAGTATAGAATCTCCACCTTCTGAATCGCATTGTGAGGTGGATATCTACAGATAACATAACCCTTGATTCAAGTGAAATATCCTCTCATCATCATTACCTTTGTAGCCAAAACACCCTACCTTCCCACAATCCCTCCCTCCTCATCATAAGTACAGTAATTTACATAAAATTATACATCACATAGTTCCACCTCCCAAGACACCCAAAACCCAGTAACCAGCTCACAGGATCGCGAAGTGCAACAAAACAAGCCAACCCCCCCAGGACGTTCGAATCAGACTTAAGCTTAACAATGCGAATCCGATGCCATTCCCATCGAGGCTGAGCGATCTTATTTACCTGATGTGTTTATGCCATGCGGGTCGGTGTCTTCGCTCATCCCGTGGGTGTTGGCCCGCGCTAAGGTTGTCGGTGGTGTGGGGAAGTGGGTTGGGGGTGTTGATCGCATTTTTGTTATGCTTGGAGGGGGGATGAGATGAGACAAGTGTTAGTACCATAGTAAGTCGTCCTTAGAGGAAATGCTAGGGTGTGAGTATAGAGTAGTAGAAGCTGGTAAGATAGTCCAAGATTATAATCTCGGGCTACTTAGATAACAGTTTTACGGACCCCTTAGACAGAAACGGTACTAGACGGCTCTTTGTAATCTTCTACGTATAAGAAGAAGGACTTGTAGCGAGTAGGAGCCTCTAGTTTATACTGTTTCGTACTATTCCGTACTCCCCTTACACCCTAGTATTTTTTCTAAGGACCATTTACCATAGTAAGATGTTGAAGTTTGAGGTTGGGTTGTTTTGGGTTGATGGATGAATTTAAGATAGGTCTAGAAGTAAAAGAATTAGAAGTTTATTACGTTGTTTACGGTTGGTCGATTAAAGGGTTTCTTTTCTAATATTGTATAGCTAGCTGATTAGTCTTTAACAGATAGCACAGTAGCTACCACTTACTTTTCCTGTCCACCGAAAGTCCCTCCTCTACCTTAGTGGAACTAAAATACGGCAGTAAAATACACTTATATCCGCCTCCACCAAAGTCGACAAATCCCAATTTCTACTCATACCTTCGGTCTCTTAACATCCTCCGTACCTCCTTTACATCCTTTATACCCTCCTCATATTTCTTAGTATTCCCTCTACTTATCAGCTGCCTCCCAAAAATCATTTCGGGATATTTACCCACATGCCAATACCAATCCATGTACGTATAATACTTCTACGAGCAATGCATACATAATAACCAGTACTGAATTTACGAAGTAAGCTACGGAGAATTTCAAGACGATAGATATTGGATTTTATCTTGGCCTGTCTTGTTTACTCGTATATTATGGAGGTATAGCTTGTCCCTGATTATGAATTGTGAGCGAAAGTAGCGAATTAGAGGATCGGATGTGAGTAGTATAGCGTTTTTAGAAGTACAAGTACTTGATAGTCTTACGCCTAGCTTGACTTTAACAATTTTAATTGTCTATTTTTTCTACTCGTATGGATGTGATGGTTTTATCGTGGGGTAGCTTTACTACCTATCGAAGTACTGCCTTGGTGTATCTTGGTACTGTTACTTTGGATTACTTGTGGGTTTACAATCGTCTACGTGGTACCTTATATAAATTTTTAATCCATCTTTTGCCATATTACCATGTGGTTCTTCCTCGTTATTCCAGATCTCCGTAGATTCCGGAGGGATTTTTATACGTCTACTTTCTTTCTTTCTTCTTAATTTTTTGTAGGACGAGGTATGAGGTATGAGGTATGAGAACGGAGCAGAGAGTATGAGAACCTTTTGAGGTTTATACTCTAGATCGAGGGATTGCAAGTTTAGTAATATGTAGTAAATAGGTAATATCACCTCTATCAAGTAACCAAAAGCCAAAAACCCAACATAAAACGAAAAAAAAAAAGAGCACACGCTATACATACACCCCAACTACCGAACAATCTCCCTCCATCATCTCATCTCATCATTCCATTCCCCCAAATAACATCAACAACCTCTTAGGTTCCCAACCAAGTTCCGAAGCTGAAACCCCTTCCATAATCCTTCTACTTCGTAGTTTTAGAAGTAGAAGTGACTTCAGAACATCACGTCACGTCAACTGTGGGGCCTGTTCGTGCGTGCCTACTGTAGAAATTCAATTCAAAGCAAGTGTTGTTGTTGTTGCTGGACAGTGGGCAGGGCAGTGGGAAATAAGCTTTTCCATAGTTCGGTTTCAGGTTTAAAGAGTGAGTTTACGAGGTGGAGAGGGGAGGTGAGTTTTTGTGCCTGAGAAGGAAGGTGTATTTTGTGGATGTGGTGTGGATGTGGTGTGCATAAGTGGGATCGGATGGTTTGGTGGGTTGGTGGGTAGAAGTGCGTGAGTATACTTTTAGTAGAGATGTAGGAAGAAGTATATCTTGTACTATTTAGGCTAAACTCGGTCCGTCGTTCCTGTTCTTCTTATTCTGTAGAGTATTCGAGATGAGGTGAACTCTAGTTGTTTTGCATTTTACGTGACGTTCTACATTATTTTGAAGATGGCATGAAAAGCCAGATGTTTCTCCTCTACGGACGTAGACTAAGTCCCGTTACTTTTTTGAAGAAGGGAGGGAGGAGGAGGAGGTTGGGTTAGGTGTTTGACTACTGTAGTAGTGGTGAGCTATCGTAAAATGTTAGTTGGTTTAGTTTAGTTGGTTTAGTGTAGTTAATATCGAGTAGACTGTAGTAAGCACCAGTGTCAATGTCAATTGTTAGTAAAAGACTTAACATGTTAATTATTTTAGTCTACTGTAGTTAATATCGCGTTAGAGGAGGTAAGCACCAATGTCAGTGTCAATGTCAAATGACAATGTCAATTGTTAGTAAAAGACCGGTTCTAAGCTACTGTACCTTTGGCGCGAGCCCGAAAAGAGAGATCGGTGATGCGCGAAGCGTGATGTGCCAAATAGACTTGGCTGTCTCGCGTCTCCCCATTTCCATGGTATTACCAAAAAACGGTCTGAAGAAACGTGTTAGTTCGCAGATCCAAAATAATGACGATGGCATCGATTAGAAATAAGTTCGTCCGGTGTCTCTCGTTTCGTTAGCAAGACAAAAATTCGGCAGAAAGGTAACCTAAAAGATATTTTTAGGTGTTCCCAAGGAACTTGAACCCTTTTTCGTCCCCCAACTCGTATTTCAAGACTTACCCGTGCTCGCCGTGTAACAAAGAGCATTGCCGGTAAACTCAACACCACAAGTCTTTGAGACAAGAATCGAGACATTCTAGAAGGCTTGACGATCTCTTGTGTGGAGGAGGTCACTCCCTTTGTTTTGTAACTCCCCCCTCGTGGAGATCACCTTCGTATTCTCTGGGTGAGATATATTTAGATTCGCCCATCTTTTCTTCTTTGTTTTTTCTTCTTCCTGGCGGTTGGCGTTTGGTGTTGGGCTTGGTGCTTTGTTCGATTGAGGCGGCGCCACGAAGGGCCACCCAAGAACGCTTCCAAGGCGGTTAGTGGCATGCGTACGGGACGTGCAGAGGGAAGATCTGCGGGAGAAAAGGGTGTACGAGTCCACACACCACATGGCCGGAAAATCATATGCGTTCGGCCACCGAACAATACCGTACTCGATGGGGATAGTTGTAATGGTGGTCTGGTCTGGATGCACCGTTTGGTTTCGTGATGTCTGTGTGTTTGGAGGTTGGTTCTGTTGATGGGCGATGACAATGATGGCAGTCGATGCAGATCGCTTGATTGGGTTTTCCCAGTGATGTGCATTTGATAGGTGAGTTGCTGTATTGGAGCCTTGGCGGAGGGGAGAGCGAATCGCTTTTCTCATTGCGGGCGGAGAGCTTGTTATTGATGTCCAAATTGGTACTGGATCGGTAAACAGTCAGGGAATAGTGAGGATACAGATGCTGCAGAATAGTTTATCCATGAGGCTGTGATGAAAGGAAATATACCGGTGTGATATGATTGCGTGATGCAAGAGGTGCCAGGAGAAGATACGGTAACAAGTGAGGCAGTGGCACGGTTTGATTTCCCCATTCCAGTTTCCCAGATCTGGGTGATTTCAATGAAATCTTTTTTTTGTATTGGTTGGTGCCTGATGACCAGTCAGGCCTCAGCTCTCGGTAGTAAAAATCAACCAGGGACTCCGGCATAACATCTGCATAACCTTGGACGCATCAATATGTCGATCATGAAATGAATAACAAGTGGCAATTCGCACACAAGCACCTTATTTATGGGAATGTTGGATATTGCAGCAGCAATGTTGGCAATCAACACAATGAAGCCATTCCCAACTCTTGTTTCCCCTCATTTGGACCGCGGTTAGTGTGATGCAATCTCCTGGCGGCGAAGGGCCAAGCTTGGACCCGATTTGCAGATGGGGGCTCACATAGGGAGACGCAATTGAAATGAAGTGGAGGCACCCTCAAACGTGCGACCAGGTGTCGAATCGGATGATTGGGTGATTGGATCGGCTATGATGGGACGCGGAGAAAGGACCAGTTTGGGTGCATCCTTTGCCTGTCAGGCACATTTGCAACGCGATGAGGATGCAGATGGGATGTGATGGTAAGGGACTGAGATTGCGGAATGAGAGACGCAGAGACCACTTCAAACCTGGAGACTCGAGAGGCGTTCAACATCGTGAGCGATGGATGGTCTTTGTTGAGTTGAGGAACCACACTCATCCACACGCACAGCCTTTTTATCAGCCAGCCATTGCTATTTTTCCGGGGTGGGGAGTATGCGGCTAGGCTGGGGGAAGTTTAGTCTACATGATTAATCTATTTTTTAGCTCGCTCTGCAGGTTGCTTTGCTCCAATCCAACATGCTGTGAATCATAAGTAGTTGATAGTAATGTATTGGAGGCCACAACGCTTAATCTTATTATTACTTCGTATAAACAGTCTCACTGCAATAGAGATCAGGAAATCAACAGATGATGAGCCCAAAGAGGTGTGAAAAGGAAACAGTATGATGGTGATGGCGTGGGCGTGGCTTGCATTCCCTCATTTCGATAAGGAAGCTGATCTCAAAGACTAGAACAGCCGGCCATTGTCTGTCAACCGTGTCATGGTCATCTGGCTCCACATCAGCCAGGTACCACCCACCTGTAGCCAGGAACCGGCCAAACGTGGCCAACGTGGACGTGGAGGGTAAATCTACAAAGTAAATCGCAATCGCGGCCAAGTGGTGGCAGAAGCCTGGGAAAATAGGCTCATTTCCTGGTCGCAGCCTGTTTAGAATCTACTGCGGTGGTTCCAGCTCTAGCTGTAGTCTACCGTACCGTACTGTAGCTGGCTGTACTGTAGCCGTACTGTAGCCGTACTATAGCTGTAGCTAGCTAGCTCTCGCTTATGCCCTAACCTTCGAGATAGACGGCCAATGCGATGCGATGGTACGATCGAAGGGAGAGACCGCTCCCGATATCCGTAGGGTACAGAGTATGAGTATCCGCGTCGAGGCAAGAACCAGCCATCAACCTCGGAAGGTCAAGGGAGCGCTGGTGGGAGCTGGTGGGAGCAACGCTGAAAAACATCAAAGAGCGTGGGCCACTCGCTTCTGTGGCCAACGACAGCGCCAATTTCATGCTCTCGAAATACCTTCCACCGACCGTGGCTGCTGCTGGCTCTTGGTGCCTCGGGTGCCTCTGGTGCCTTTCAGGGTTGCCGCTATCATCGCTGATTCGCGCTAAGCCCAACTGGGCGCTGACAGGCGCTGACAGGCGCTGATAGGGGTATCCCCATGCCACCATCCTTGGCTCCCTGGCTCTCCCTTGACCTCCCTTGACCTCCCTTGACCTCCCTTGACCTCCCTAGGAAGGCGTTGACAGCAACCACAGCGCCAGAGCCGGTGCCAGCCCGCCGCCAATGCCCTGCGCTCAAGCACTCTTTCACTCGCTGCCCTCATTTCAGTAGACTTTCACCACTCTACTCCTGACTCCCTACTCCCTACCACTCTTTGCTCTCTTCCACCCTCACCTCACCTCTTCGCCTTCATTCCCGTCCGCCCTCCCCTCCCCAGCACAACTCCTCACCACTCCTCAGATTCGATCGTGCAATTCATCCGCACGACCAGAATCGCCCACCACGGAGGAGAGAAGAGCCTCGAAGACCTCGAAGAGGCCGTCGGCGGTGATTTGTAACATGGTTGCCAGTCCATGATCGAGAACTCATTCACCACCCGAACCATTCCATCACCACTACCCAACCACCTACCCGCTCGACGATTTTTCGTCACGACACTCTTTTGAGGCGCTGCTTGTTGATTTTGCGATCCCTTACAGTAATCCTACCGTGAGTCGACCAGCTTTCATCTCCATTCGACGAGAAACACGATGTTTGGAAGAACCGGGCGCGCACCATTCGTTGATCCGTCCCAGGGCCGCGCAGCTTTGGGCGTCGTGTTGATCATTCATGCCAACCACTCATTTCTCACCACAGGAATGACGACAATGACTGACAACCACTACAGACACACTCGTTGACATTTTGTCAAGTACACTCGTTCAACCCAATTCTCCCTGACAGTCAGTTTGCCGTGGGACACGAGAGCCGCCGGAAATTGATGGTCGTGTTGCTGACTCCCAAATTAGACCTCGCAAACTTCTTTTCGTCCCAACTTCTCGCGATTCAGCCCAACTTACTTGTAAGATTTTAGATTTCAAACACGATGCACACTCCATCATTTCTGTTGGCTTCGGTCGTCGCTTTTTCCTCATTGGCCAGTGCAGAGGTGGAAAGGCCCAAATTTTACTATCCACGACAGATAAAACGTGCCATCAACACAACCGTGACAGCACCTGATGGGGAATTGGTAAATGCGCCAACCACACCATTCACTCAGACATCGTTGTTTTCACGTCGATCATTATCAGATATATTAGGGCATGGAAGCAGTTCGGTCAGGGATGTGTCAGTAAACTTGGAGGCAGCGACAACTGGTTCACCAAACGATGATTTATTAAATCCTATCCAGCCTACCACGCCTTCGCCCAGTTCCTCGGCTTCAAGCTCTACTTTAAGCTCCAGTTCAAGCTCTAGTTCAAGATTGAGCCCAAGCCCCAGGCCTTCCACCACTAGCGGAGATTCGTCCGCAACGACAATAATCGTTTCCAGTACTGTAGTTGTTGATCCATCAACTCCGTCTCCATCAACATCCTCAACTCCGAAGGTATCGAGCCCTACCCAGGGAACATCGACCAGCCGGAGCAGCGTGGCACCAACTGGATCAGCTCCTGCTGTAACTGTTTCCCCAACTGCATCATCGAAGCCATCGTCTCCTGCACCAGGATCAACATCATCTTCACAAGCACCAAGTTCGTCAAGCAAGGAGAACCCTGTAGCTCCAACTGGAACCGTTCCGCCTGTAATTGTTTCACCTACGCCTTCTACTTCTAGAAGCTCAACGATTGTGCCTACATCTGCTCCCCAAAACCCTGGAGCAACCGGATCAGCTCCAACAAGCACCCTTCAACCAACTGTACCATCATCACCAAATCCCGTTTCTTCCCCAACTAGCGCGGCTTCACCTTCAAAGGCTCCTCCTAGCGTAGAACCGACCGATGGATCAACCGGACCCATTCCACCTCTGATTGGGTTACCTACTACATCGTCGAAGACCCCTGAGGTCACCCCAAGTGCCAGTTCTTCAAATACCGGAATTCTCTTTGCCCCAGGTGGAATTATAAAATCCAGCACTGCAGGCAACGACCGTGTTTCAACGTCCCAAGAACCAGTCACTCCAACTGCCGGTACAAGCCCTGGAGTCAATGGACCTTCAACCGCCCCAACAGCCGGTGTGTCTCCATCCCCATCGCCCCCAGTTGGAACAGCTGGAAGTTCGAAACCTACGACTACTCCGACGGGCATCTTGGCACCAATTCTGACCAGTGCTACTAATGCAGTTGGAACCGGCGTTGTCTCGCCAGTCTTGTCAGTTGCTAGCAGTGCTGTTTCGCAAGCTCCTAGCAAGCTTCTTCCAACCTTACCTACCACTGGCCCAAGTTTACCTACCACTGGCCCAAGTTTACCTACCACCGGCCCAAGTTTACCTACCACTGGCCCAAGTTTACCTACCACTGGCCCAAGTTTACCTACCACTGGCCCAAGTTTACCTACCACTGACCGAACTCCAACAACTGGCCCAACTGCTGGTAGCCCTACTGCTGGTACTCCTATCTCCGTTCCCACACTAGGTGGTACCGCCGGTACCGCATCCACTAGAAATGGAAACCCTACTGTCTTGTCAACGAAGGAACCCGATTCGTCAAAAGTGCCAACTACAACTCCTAGAACTCCTTTGGGAACGATCGTGCCCATTCTCTCCAGCTTGACTGGTGATCTCCCCCTGACCATCCCAACGAACAGACCTACTACCGTTCCCACGACTTTGCCCAGCGGCACTCCCGCAACCAGTGTCAAGCCTTCAACTGGCCTTCCTACTCTTCTTCCTACGATTATTCCCACAGGCACAAGCGGTGAGACTAGTACCCGAACTGGCACCCAAAGTACTGGGCAGACGAGTAAGCAAACGGGAATTTCTACCGGGACCCCAACGAGTATTCCAACCAATGTCTCATCTGGCACCCCTTCGCCATCGGGTACAAATATTCCAACCGGTGTCACCTCGAAGAGTTCAAGCGAAAATACATCTGCCCCAACTGGTCCTACTGGAACTCCTACCGGACTTGCATCAAAAACTTCAGGCTCTGTCACCACCGTACCAACTGTATCTTCTACAGATCCAAGCGTGAGCACCAACACAAATATTGCAAATACTGGTTCATCCAAGCCCACAGTCTCCAGCTCGCCTACAGATTCAATTTCAGTCTCAAGCTCACAGGCTCCAACTGATATTTCAACCACAGCACCCACTCGCAGTGCTTCAACTGTCATTTCTGCTTCCAGTACCAATCATACCCTTCCGACCGCTACTCCCACTACTTCGCCATCTAGTCCAAGTTCGGTTCCACCATCTACCTCGGTCTCACAATCATCTGCGCCTCCATCTTCCGCCCCTCCAACTTCTGCGCCTCCATCTTCCGCTCCTCTTACCACCGCCCCTCCATCTACCACGGCTCCTCCTCAAACCATTTTGCCAACATCTACCGATACCTTTACGTCTATGTGGTTGCCCACTACCTTGATTGCAGCTCCATCTTCCACTATAAGCAGCTCTGGTGTATCAAACACTCCTCTTCCAACAGGTATCAGCCCACAGATGCCCAAAGTTATCCAGAACCCAATGCAGCCATCAATCCCTGAAGGAGCCACAAAGATTCAACTTGGTTTCATGTTTCCATTGAACTACGGATTCGTTGTCGCCAACCCAATCTCATCAGCGCAGATCTTTTCTTACTTACCAAAGGGTATTGCAGATGGATTGGGGTTGAAAACTGAGCAGGTTGTATTGACAAGTCTTGGTCCTCTTGACACCACAGCTCAACTTGGATACATCACCACCTTGGCCTACGCATACATCCCTACGACCATGGTTAACACCCTTCGTTTGGATCTTCTCATTCCAACCGCACCAATTTATCGCAACGATGATGGTAGTGTTCAAACTCTGGTCAACTACATCAACCCAGCCATTCCAATCACACCTGGTGCTACGTTGGATGGATCTGTTGCCGGTACTGGACCGGGATCATCCCCACCATCCAATGCTGGAGGCAAAGATGGCGTTTTCAATACCGATAGCCAAAACCAATCAACCTCTATCAAGGGTTCTACTGTTGGGATCGCCATGGCTGCCATTGGCGGTTCCGCCGCTTATGGTGCAGCCATGTTCTTGATTGCCCGAAGATACAAGAAGCGCAAGCAAAACCATCGTCGTTCCAACTCACTTTTGAGCCCCAATGATATGAGACCATCTGGTAGTCCAGCTATGATGGGTGGTGCAGGTGCAGCTAGTGTTTACATGTCTGGTGGACGACTATCGCCTGGTTTAACGACAGTTCATGACAGAAACAGCCGAGGAAGTGGAAGAAGTGCAGGAGCCTCCGCTCGTACCCAGCAGATTTCGGGTCCCATGATGGCAGAGAACTCTCTCGGATGGAACTGAACGACATCTTCCTTTCCACGTTAATTTTCTCGCATTTTATAACCTCACCAGCTCTCGATCTGCCATCTACTTTTCTGTACAATACCAACATCGCGACTGGTCTGCACATTCTTCCCACGCGGAGCATACAGAGCTCAAAAAATACTCTTCTTGTCTTTAAATCTTCTACTGGTGCCGGGGCCGCCTTTAATTCCCCCGCCCCGTATCATTAAAAGGATCTCGTCACACATTTTTGGCCAGCACCTTGATTCGGAGGTCTCTTATTATTTGGAATTTCTTTGTGGAGGAATGATATAGAGAAGCTGTAGTTTGTGGTTGGAGATGAGCGGGATGATGTTCGTCGATGTGGGAGGTTTTGATCGAATATAAAGAAGGATTAAAAAAGCTGAAGTTAAAGGGGTTCGGTTTTTTCTTTTCTAGGGACGAGGAAATATGAGCGATCCTGTCCCTAATGTGTGTGTTGATTTTTTCCTGTGTACATTTATGATTCCCCCCCTAAGCCCCTACATGAATTAAGGATAAACTTTTTTCTTCTCCTCCTTTTGATTCTACAAATTTATTATTTCCTTTAAAACTTGTATATTTCTCATACTCTCTCTCTGAATCTCTCACACAATCTCTCAAACTTGGTGAATTACTTGGTTGTTTTCCTTTTTATTCATGACTCCCTTTTTTTAATGTTATATAGGAAGAAAGAAAAAAATGGGAAAAGATTTTAAGATATATTGTACTTGTTGATGTTTGGGGTTTGTGTGAGGGGTGGATGTGAGGGGTGGATGTGAGGGGTGGATGTGTGAGTGTGTGTGTGTGAGTGTGTGTGTGTGAGAGAGTGTGTGTGAGAGGGATAGTAAGGAGTGAGGTGGGTAAGGGGTGGGTGTGAGTGTGAGTGTGAGTGTAAAATAGTGGTGATGTAGTATAGTAAGGAGTGAGGGGTGAGGGGTGGGTGGGTATTGTATGTTTTTTAGGTAGGGGAGGGGGTTGTGGTTNGGGTGTGAGTGTGAGTGTGAGTGTAAAATAGTGGTGATGTAGTATAGTAAGGAGTGAGGGGTGAGGGGTGGGTGGGTATTGTATGTTTTTTAGGTAGGGGAGGGGGTTGTGGTTTTTTGGTGGTGGTTATGTATAGAAATCTTTAATTGGTTTTGGTTTTGCTTTCTTGGTATGGTTGTTTGATGTTGGTCTTGATGTTAATGTAGTGTTAGGACCTCGGCAGCGTAAGAATGAAATACTCAGCTAATCAAGTATACACGGGTTATACTGAATTTTGTTAGAGTAGGTTTGAGTATATAGTCTAGTTGAGTAGGTTAGAGTAGTAGATTCAACTACTTAAGTAGTATTAAGTAGGTACCTCTACTCTACTTATTTAATACGCTGGACCTCGGTAGCTTAGTTTGTGTATTTGTGTATTTGTGTGTTTGTAAGTGTATAAGGTATATAGATAGTATAACAGGTATTCTAAGATGAATGAGTTGGGAATCTGAGAGGCTGCGCTGCCAGGCAGGTGCGAATCCTCCTCTTCTCTTTGATCCTTTGCTATTGCTGTCTAGTCCAGTCCAGTCCTGTCTCTATTCAGATTATTCGTTCGCACTCAAAAGGTCCTGTTCCTCGGACGCTTTAATAATACTATTACTACCTACCTTAACATTCTCTTCTCTACCTACCCTCGCTCTTAGATAACTTCGTCCTTTTTTAAACTAGCTGTATTAATACTATCGGTCCCTCTTCAACTAGCGGGATTTATACGGTCTAGAAGACGAGATCCGTACCTTTGTACTTACTTGTTCGTTGCTAGCTAGTACAGATATATGGTTTAGGTAGACCCCGTCGACTTTGATAGTAGTAACCTTGAGTTTCCTACCCCCCAGAAGCCATCGTATCTGGAGAACCTGGGTAAGTAGATTATGGAATCCATCTACTAGTTGCTAGGGGGGAGGGGAGGAGGTGGTGGGTGTGGTTGTGTTGTGGGTTCTAGGGCTCTTGGGTCGAAAGGCGTTGAAAAGGGGGAAGGGTGGTGTTATTGTCGATTTCTGGTTTTTTGTCGATATATAAACTTTCGTTTATGTATCTCTCTAGCATTTTTGTGTGTTTTGTTGAAGGGGAATCCAAATTTCGATTCCGCCGGGCTCAATGTTAGGCATGCCCAAGCTACTCTCAGGAAGCAGTGTTCATGAAGAGACCAGATCATCTTCTCGAAGTCCACTGCTCCGTCCGAGACGAGCAACGCAGACGAGCTGATGAATATCTGAAGAATAATCCGAGACCGATGGGAAATTCGGGATGGCAACGTCCCCTCCAGGTTGCAGCAAATTCTGAGGAAGCATATCAAGCTCAATATTTCGGGGAGGAGTTCTTGTTTTGGTAGATGAGTTATGTGCATGAAATAGAGGGGTGAGAGGTGGATTCAGGACAAGGAGGGGGATTCCCTGCGTAGGTCACCAGAAATTTGTTGGTGGGATGGGACAGTATAAGGAGGGGTTTGAGGGCTGGGGTTGTGTTGGTAGATGCGGTGTGTGGTTGTGGTTTGTGAAGGGTGTAGGTGGGTTTGATAAGGGGGTTTTTGGTGAGCTCAACTGGAGCATAGTGGTATCTCGTTCCCAGGGGATGTTTGTTGGATTTGAGAGCTTGTCTTATTTCCAAGAGAAAAGACAAACGGGAAACTGCTTTTCTGCTTTTCTGCTTTTCTGCGGTTTTACGTCCTTTTTCTATGCAACGTGAATGAGGTAGTCAGGAAGTGTTCCTTCCTTCCTGTATTAGCAACCCTAACATTGACCATGGAATCGTTTGTGAAGGGTGAAAGGATATTTCGACAGGGTTCGAGTCAGAAAACATGTTTTGGTCATAATTTTGTTCCACTCCGCCAGCTTATCCAGAGTAGTATCCCTTGCGAACTATGATGCTAGCATTCGATTACTGATAATAGGTGAGTCTTCAAGTGCCGAGGCGCGGAAGGTAATCTTGGTAGGCGTTCCAAAGCGCACCTTCCTTCTAAAAAGATTGCTTCCGCCAGCCCTCATCACCTGGTAAGGCTTTGCCCTAGAGATCTAAGAAAGAAATACCGTTTAGTAAAAGGCAACTTGCGGTCATTGAGCATCTTATTCTGGTTATTGGCGGTTCCTTGGGCTTCAAAGGTAAGCTGTTATTTGCATTGAACTTTTGCACGATGATTAACGAAGTCAGGATTTATCATAAATCGTCTTGGAACTGCGGTCGCAATTTCAAAACAACAACCATTCCCACTGAAGGCGGCCATATGCGATGTCTGACCCCAATCACCAGCCTTGGAATACATTCCTCCAACCATATCGACCCTGCCGTAAGTGCCATGAGCGCACCAAAGTCGAACAGGTATATCGCGAAGGATACATGTATATCATGGGCACTACACCCAGAACCTGCATCTGCGGCAGATCATATTATCCCTACGATATACTAGTTATCGCTATACACGGTCATTATGACTTGCCACTTGGTGGGGCACCCCTCGACAGCATCTCCTACGGTGTCTTCGTGGGTCCCGACTCGGAATCCAACTCCGGTTCACGTCTATACATTGAGCCGGGTGGTCTTGAGGATTCAAAAGTACCAGATGGCCCCCTATGGACCAAAGAAGCGGCGAGTTTGGCTGCTGCAAGGAATGCAATTCGGACTGCATTGCGGATTGCGGAAAAGGGTCTATCGTTCTCGAAATTGGTTATTAAGACCGAATCCCAAAACATGGTTACGTGTATGACTGAGACTCCAAGCCAGTCTTCGGCATTCGATAATGCCCGTGAGATGCGGCGGAAAAACCTGATGTATTGCGCTGAACTTCGGAAAACTGCTGTCATGGCTTCGACGAAAGGTATTGAAGTGATGTTGTGGGCGGTAGAGAGAGGTACAAATCGTGAAGCCATTCAGTTGGCGGAATTGGCCATGAAGACGGCTCCACGAGCGAAATTTCACTCGCCGGGTCGGTAAGGGCGGCGTCTGTATCTTCCGTTTGTGGGAAATATGAAGTTGAAAGGGATAAAGGTTTTCTTGCACATTAGGGGTTGTAGGAATAGAACGAAATGGTATTATTGTCAGAGACTCTGATAATATTCCGCGTCCACAAGTTGTTGTGCCAGATGAAATATACACGATTCTGCCAATACTTGGATTGATTAAGAGACGCAGATATCGATTATACTACCTAGGTAAACTGTTCAGACATTCAAAATAACTGTCCAAAGCTTCTGGTACAATTTTGAGCTTACCTAGGTGTACGCAGAGCAACATGCCCGCCTGTTACTCAATATGTTCAACCCGCGAATTTTACATCAAACCTCAATAAAGAACTCCACCGATTCCCATACTGCTTTTTCAGATTTCGCACATTCTTAGACACCCTGAGAATCAAGGCGACCTGTAGGCGTTATCCATCACCCCTTTCGCTTGGCAACATGGACGGGAGGAGCTTATGCTCCACTACGATCCGTTAACTAGATTTAAGCGAGAGGGGAAAAAAAATGCCTTTTGGGTTCATTCTTGTTGTAAGATTTGTATTAATGAGAAGCTTCGCGACTAAGAGCATTGTAAAAAAGTACAGTACAAAGTCAATTTTTACAGAACTCCACTATGGTAGTGTCTTGTAAAACCCCCCACCAGGGGGTGTCAGAATTCTGTGCGCAGCCCTAGATGTTGGCCGAAAACACACCAAAAACGCCCTACTTTACTAAATTATAATAAATCAAAAAATAATCTATATATTCTATAATTAATAATTCGAGATAAGATAGAGAACAGCTCTAACTTGTACTATTTAGAATTTTAGTAAAATAGCTACCTCTCTTATACTATAAATATAGTAGATTTACTATAGGATTTAGTGTAAGAAAACTCTCTACTAAAATATCTCTTTAACTATTAGGTTCTAAAGAAAACTCTTGCATATGCACTTGGTCTATGTACTCTAGAGAGTTCATATATAAGATACTACGTATAGTTTAAATATAATTTTACAAAGTTGTAGAGTACTAAAAACACAGTTTTTGGTGTGTTTTCGGCTGAAATCTGGGGCTGCGCACAGAATTCTTCTGACGGTAATTATTCTCCCAACGCGGCGTCGTTTTCTTCCGCAAACAAGACGACATAACAAATGACCTCCAGAAAGAGCTTGTCTAAAGACTAGGCGAGCTCTCGTAATATCATCATATACTAGCTATCAAGAAACCGAAAAAACCATCCTCCCTGTTATCCTAGTATTGCTATCCTTGAGTATCTCGTCCACAGCTATGATCCCCAGAATCCCCATAGTTTAGTTGTCCATACCCTTCCTCAGAAGACTCCTCCGAACAAGCAACTACATAATCACAAATATATTCATAACGATTATGCGGTGTTTTCTGGTTGTATTTGCGTATGTTTTTGATAGTCAGAGGCATAATATTAGTATTAGGACTGTTGATTGTTGACCACGATTTTGCTCGGGATTGTGGTTGCGTATATCGTTTCTGTGTGGAGGCACACGATAGAGACCGTGGATAGCTGCTGGTTGGCGTGTATTATCTCTTTTGGCAGACACGCCATAAAGACCATAAATAGCTGCTGATGAGTGACCGTGTCTCTCGCTTTCGGGGTTGAAGAACGAAGACCAGAATCCGGACATTTTGTTGTCACAGTGGAGTTTGGGTTGAGTGTGGGTGTTATGCTTTTTCTTTTGACACTTGACGAGTCGTTTGGTGTTGTAGAAGAGATGGTGTTGTAAGAAGGCTGGGGGAATTCCCAAAGCTCTATAATAGAAGTTTGGTTATATATGCGGCAGAGCCTGATCGCCTGTGATGGTCGTTCTACATACTCTCTGTGAATTTGGTAGTGACTGCTGTATTTGTACAGTATAACAGAAGAATTTTAAAGGCATGAGCTACCCATCATTCTCAAGGTGAATTCATGACTGTTAATTCGACGGCCAGAATAACTGAACTATATGCAATTAAACAACACTATTTATAATCTTCGCCTAAATGCCCTAGTCTAACGAAGCTCTGGTGTATTCTATATACTACTTATAATCGTAGAATCGCTTAATCTAGATCAATCGTACGTGTCTCTCTGTTAGAATTTCGATCTTAGTTAAGTGAACGTAGAGTGATGACAAGATTCCTTACAGTACTAATCAGGTTCTGCTCTACTATTGTATCCAGTCAGTAGAAAATTAAATACCTACTACCCAGTGTATATTGTTTTACGAGTCACGTGTCACAGTTACATGCATTGAACACTCACAAGACTTCCCAATTGCATGGAGCTCAAGTGTTCTTGAAAGGTTTTGTGGCATAACTCTTCGTTTTTTTTAATTTCGTTTTCAAGCAGATAATCTACTCGAGCCAGTCGTAGCACCACTCTCAGAAGTCTCTCGAACGTCACCCTCAACAAATCTCTCAGGAACATCCAACCCAAACATCTCCCAAACACTCTCCAAAGGTCCCATTTCCTCACTGAACATCTCCAGGTTTTCCCGTGTCAACTTCCCAGGTCCAAATACCGGCATAGGTCTCAGACCAGCATCCAGCATAGCAAGATTTCTCGGTATAAGCCTTTGGTGACCTAGTGTATGGCCATCAAAACGGTGACCGGGCGCTGGGGCGTCTTTGATGCTCTCTAGCCAATTGTCGATGGTTGAATAGAGCTCTTCTTGGTCGTCGTTTGGGTGAGAATTTGGAGGTTCCGAGGTCGTTGCTTCGCTTGAGGGAGGACTTTTGCGCTTGGAGGTTTTTTTTGGGTGGCGAATGGCTTTCCGGATACCAGTCCTGTTTCTCAGTTTCAGTCTCAGGTAAGATTCATGAGGTCTCAATTATCGTCCAAGTACAAGAAAGGTAGTCTTGCCCTTGTGATACACTGGAATAGACAAAGGGATTTGAAGGTACTTACCAGAATGCCATTTTTCGTAGTGGCTTGTTGCTTTTGATTCCTCTTTTAACTTTTGGATATAGATTGTGGCAATTTTGAATGTGTTTTGGTCAACGATAGAAGGCTAGTTTTTAATTTCAAGGGGTAACGTAGTTGAAGAGAAAGTGTTAGCAGAGAGGAAGACCAGTTTTGAAGAATTTATATTGAGACTCAAAGCTGGTCAGCTGTTGATGAATCAGTGTTCCTTGTGAATCCTTCAGTGCCATTGTCTCTCAAATACAAGATGGCAGAATCCATTCACATACAGACTTCGCTTAAAAAGTGGAGACAGTACAGCCTTCCAAATTTGGCGTGAGAGCATGAAGGACTCCTTCATGTATGCTCCTAAATTGTCACCACGTTGGATTATTGTGTCAAAAAAAGATAAATGTATTAGTGGTAAAGATAACCACATGCATGTTTATCCTGTCTTAGTTGTGCAAAGACTTTTGAGCAAAACAGTTCAAAAGTACTGTATGGACATTAGCAAAGGACTTTTTGTCTCTACGTTACCTTAATCAAGTCGTTACTATAGTCAAGACGTCGAATTAAACTGTGATTATAGAGACTTAATAAACACGTCAAAAAGTTAGACCCCCCTCAATTCCACAGAAGAAAAATGCTACCACGTGATTTTGTTGTAGAGAGATTCACCCACAGCTGGGTTGAATCGGCACTAGAGAGGTCTATAGAGCGACGGTAGGCGAATGGCTAAGTTTTTATTGTCTCCTTCTGACCTAACAAAATGTACCGACAACCTTTTCTGCCAAATCAACACCTCCACATCGTCCATCATCTCCACACCCACCGACCGCGACCACAGAGGTAACACGCAATGGAAAGCCCGCCACGCGAGCCAATAAATGTTATTTCTGTTGAGGCGGCGAAGAAGAAACTCAAAAGATCCTTCCATCGAGCCGACTTCAGCGATCATGAGATCACGACGGCAATCGAGGCCAAGGGCGAAGGTTGGGAGGCTTACCTCCTTTCGCAACGTGATGCATTCCGTGGAGATTTAAAGGATGCTGGTGGAGATTTACTTCCAATCGCAAAGGCCAATAATGACCGCGCGTGTGTATGTTAGCATTGCCTTTTTGAACGCAGACTGGGAGCGTGGACAACATGTCGGACTAAGAGGTGTGAGCAAGAATTGAGAGTATTGATACATGTGGAGGAGACAAATATTCTGTGAGATCTATGCCTCTATGCCATTGATATCATCAGAAAGAGAAGCTAACGAATAAATTTATAGGCTACGATATCAAGCTTGCGAGATTGTAACCCTTATTTTTGGCCCCGAAAAAACCGAATTCGCCTGTCACCGAGCACTCTTATGTTACCACTCGGAATTCTTTGATGCTGCTCTACACTGGGGAGACAAATCCGAAGTCGTCATGGAAGAAGAGAGCGCTCAGGAAATTTCTGCATTCGTGGCATGGTGTTATACTGGACAGGTATACATTGCTCCCCAGCGCCCCGAAAAACTTTGGGTGCTTGCAGACAGAATTCAGAGTCAAAGATTTGCCAATGAAGTCATGCATCATATTCTATACTTGTACTCCGTAAGATCACTTTGGCCGGATTTGGCAGCTGAAATTTACTCGTTCGCACCACCTGGATCCAAACTGAGACAGGTGGTAAGAGACGCAATCGTTGCAGACTCACCGCTTACCAGAGAGGAGGAAGATGAATCCGATGAGTTTCAGGGAGCATGGATGCAGACACTCAAGGATAGAGGAGAAGATCTTAAAGACTTACTGGCAGATATTTTGCTGGCAGGGGGCAATCTTTACGGCGAGAAGCCCTTAAGGGAACAGCCATCCTTTCACGAGAACCATTGGACATATCTGGAAACTATCCGAACGAGATCTCTGGAGGATATCAGAAAGGGCCCCAAGATTTTCGATTGATACAAGTGGAGATACACATGCTGAAGACTCGGACAGTCTTCAATGGGATGAGGCTGATCCCAAACGTTATTACGGAGAGTAGTTAGGAAGAAACTTGAACCAGAAATTTGTCCAGATCAACCTAAAATGAAAAATAATATTTCAGAACACAAGGCATTTGGCGTTGGCAAAATGTAGAGAAATATTGCTTCAGTATGCTGGGCTCAAGAGAAATTCGTCTTTTCTATTTCTCTTTCCATGTATGTATCTCATACAAAATACAGGACCTCTACATCCTTCTCCAGTATATTGATAAACCCCTTCAGTAGCTTAGTGGAGGCTAAGGGAAAATTTCAACGATTTGGCCCACCACATTCGCAAGACCTGAACCACGACTCTAATTCTGCGTATCAGTAAGTTGCTGTCGCCCTTCGCTAATCGTCGTGGTCGGAGTAGCATGCGTTTCGGAAAATAAGTAGCCTTTTAATGGTCGAGCTGTTTCAGTTCGTTCTGTTCTTCGAGCATCCTATTCAACTTTTCTTTTTCTATGCTACTATAGACTGAAGATCTTATGGTAAAACATTGTATGCCTTCTCGATAAGTGCAACTCCAACTCGTTTGTCTAGTAGTGAAGGCATCGCTGTCTGGAGAGTGGATTTGAGAATTGTTTATTATATATACGTTTTTTTCTTATTTCAGGACTCAATAATCGTAGATGAGCTTATACTGTAGTATGTATTTGAGAATAAACAAAGTGATATTGTAGGGGAGTGTATTTTTATTCAGTGGCATGAGTGGTTCGTAGTATGATTACTCAGCTGCGCAAGTACCGGGGGTCGTAGAATTGATTGGCCCTCGCAAGCCCTCGCAGCCCCCTAGCCTCGCAGCCCTCAGATTTCCCCCAGTACTCTCTCTTAGGCTGACCCCCGCCCTAACATATATTCATGTTCCCCAGCGATCTCTCTAGCAAAATCAACAATGTCTATGTCAATTTCTTTGAAGTTGCCTTCTTGGCCTTGGCGTCGCATCCAAAGGAGAAATCAGACCAGCTGGTCAATATTTTGTTGGAAATCAGTTGTATATGCACGTTCAAGAGACTCGATTTTTCTTTCAAGAGTTCTGTGTTCATGGGCCAAGAAAACAGGGACGTAGGTTGTGACTTGCTGTCGTGGATAAGATTCATTATAGCGACGGGCCAAGAGAAGAGTATCTCTAAGTTCGTAAAGATTTGGAGACAACATGGTATGATTTTGAAATTTGAAAAGGTTTAATGTATGGGTGTGAAATCAGGAGGAAATATTCGGTGACTTCAGATTCACCAAGGGGATCATCAGTGCTTTTATTATAGCATCTTCTCACTGTGGAACCTCTGGTGTCTGACACATGTTTTGACAAATATTGGAAGATAACTCTGAGTCTGTCATGTTTTTGCCATGTAACCAAATGAGACAGTTGTAAGAAAGAGTAATAGCAAATAGATGGCGCATTTCCTCTTGGAAATCTAGTTACACAACCACGAGCTTATATCTGGGACAGCGATGATTCATTACAGTGCTAACCATATGAACACGTCAGTAATACAGTGAGACGAAACTCTGAACACACCTTTAAACCCTTTGCGCGCAGTATACCAACTGTCTTGTCTGGAAACATAGAAAGCACAAATCCTCCTGAGCTAGGTCGGATTTTATCTGGACTCCATGTTTGAAAATGCCACCTCGTTGGATGACTAGAATTTAATATGGTTTACATCCACAATGACCAATCCCCCCTCAAGGGCTATTCGCCCTATAACAATGAGCATCAACATCAGTGAAAACATAATTGATGGATAAGCACTTACCTAGCATAGGTGAAAATTTCGGTAGGTTTTCGCTATGCTAAGGGCTGATCAGGTGGTTGTGCAGAACAACAGTAACCACGGTATCAGGCCTACGAGATTGTGTTCTCTAGTCATTTGTATTACAATTCCTATCTTACTAGAATTAACACCATATATTGGGGAAACTTCGCCAGTGGTTAGTCACGGCGATAAGAGTATACTAGCAAAAGCAACGTATCATGTTTCTGTAAAGAACTTCTATGTATGTACATTTGGTGACATTGGCCAGCAAAGTCACACCTGCTCGTAGACATGAACCTGAATTCTAATATTTCCCACCCACAGTATCTCGTTGATAACCTGGTCCCTGACAAAAGATAGTGTTGTAATCGTTTACGAATCGCCATCTATAGAAACTTTGACGTAGTCGTAGGTATGCATGTCCTCAATTCTCAAGGCCAAGAAACCCTAGGATGCAGTATGTTGTCAAGAGCAGCATACAGTATCTAGGGAGTCAAAGGAGCCTCAAAAGTTGCACTTTCGTGGACATTCAACTTAGCCATGACACCCAGATGTTTGCTGAATGGAAGGCTGATCCTAGATGTTTTGATAATGTCTTTGTTCCTCTTTCAAGAACCGATATCCAAGAAATCCCAGTCTCGCGGAATACTCTGGTTTCTCATTTCTCATCATAAATAGCATCAACGACCTGGTTCAAATCCTGTCGGGCATACTTCTCGTAACGAATGATAGGCTCGAAATCTCGGATAGATTCCTCCCACCGTCGGAGCTCTTTTGCAAATCCATTTACTTCATCGGCCCGGTCCTGGAGACTTTTCAGATCGTATGTCAGGTAACCACTATTAGGCGGCCTATTAAAAGTGGTCCAAAAATCAATATGGTCTTTGAACGTCGTATTTAGTTCCTTCAAGATAAATTCCAGCTTCTTATCAAAATCATCGATCCCTTTTGAACCCGTAATCTGAAACAATATCTGTGCTAGGAGCCACTCTTGCCTCAATTGAAAAAGCATGTCGGCTAACGCTGAATCGGAGTACGGGTACGGCTCACTGGCAAAGGGGCTGTGAAGCGAAAACGGGCTTGTTGGATGTTTGGCGTTCGAGAAAGATGAACCTGGTCTATCGTGGGTCGTCGCTGAACGAGTTTGCAAGCGTATTGTGGTATGAGTTGATTTGTGTTTCTGTGGTAATTGTAGAGTGGAGTTGTGATCATAGTAAGAGTCTATGATGGGGAGGGGCTTTTATATAGATGTATTGGGTTGAAAGGGTATTGGGTACTGAAGGTCATGGAGAATTGATTGCATTGTAAAAGGTAGCTATCTAAGGTGTTTATATAAAGAGTGTAAGGTTTAGGCAGACATGAAGCATTTAGGCAGCAGAACTATAAGTGGATCAAATAAGGAAGTGGAGCAAAAGAGAATGTAGACCCAGCACAACAAGATGTTGTGAGGACTTGATTATTCAAAGACATTTTCTGTGACTGGAATTGGGCGTGCTAATTTTGCAATTTGTGATTCACGAAATCAGTGGTTACTAACAGGATAGTAGCAAGGATCAGAGCTATATATTTATTCACAGCATGTCTCGTCAAGAGAAGTGACGAGTTGTAGTTAATAAAATGTGGTGAATTCTCATACTTCCTATGCTATTCAGTAGACCCTAGTTCATCTTTACTCTTCATAGGACCGTCTTTAGCATCAAGGATGTTCAGAAAACCTGTTTCCTTAATAGGACCCGCTTCAGCTACATAAATTAAATAAGCGACCCAGTAGAATCCTTGCATTTTCCTCTTCTGTCGAATGGGCGACTTCGCTTACTTCGCAATCAGTGAATAAAAAATTCGCAGTTGAAAAGTGGTCGGACATGCTTTCTGCTTGCCTTCGAGAAATGTGGACTTGCAAGACTCGGATGCTGGGATGTGATATGGTAGCAGCCTATCTTAAGCCTCGGGATCGAACTTCGCCGGATCTAAGAACACTTCGAAGTCGTAGAAATCCTGGTATAAAACGTAATGATCATGACATGCCTCCGGTGAGTATATTCTGTACGTTCCCAACTGATCGGGTCCATGGTTTTCTCGCTTATTGCGTGTTTGGTGAGAGCCATAGCAAAACTCTTCCAGCCCCATACGTGATAATCCTCATAAGACATTCTGATAAAATGCATCGCAGTTATTTGTGCATAATTCCAATCCAACTCATTGTGGTATCCAAAGGCCTGCATTCCGGGGATCAGGTGTGGTGCCAGTTGATAGATAGCATCGACGACCTCATATTTGCGCTTTCGAAATTCGACACCATCAAAGTCCTCTCCTACCCCAAAATAATTGTCGAAGACTTGTTGGTTCATGAAACCTTTGCGCCTAATTCTCTGGTGATCAAGAACTTCGAAAGAATACTCGCGGTATACTCCTGTCCACTGGCGAATTTTGTTCGCAAAAGCTGGTAATTCATCAAGGATTTGCTGGAGCATTTCTTCTCTGCTTTTAGCTTCGGCTAGTTGCATTAAGATGTGTGTGAGGATTCGCTCCTGAATTGACCAAGGAGTCCCCTTGACCATCTTGTACAGCCCAGTGGTCAATATGGGACCAATATATCTTGTGGTTCTTGTGAAATAAGTTTTCTAGGATAGGGAGGAATAGACACGTCGGCCTCTGAAATGAAGCGAAGGAAACAGGTAGGTAATCGCAGAGTGCAAAAGAACAGACGGTTAATGCAATAGCAATACGTTGTGTTGCGGACGATTTGCTGGGATTTATTGATTTGACTTTACCAGAACAAATGCGGAGCAAGAGAGAATTCTTTGGCGTAAAGAGAGGCTGAGCGCTACGGGCGAAGACATTCCGCAAGTGAAGGGCTGCTTGTAGCTCTTTGTGGTTGGTGCGACGCCTAATTATCTACAGAAGTCATTTCACTCATTTCACATTATCTACACAGCTTTTATTGAACATCAAAGAGGTTGAGAAAGAATTGTTCAGTTTTGAAATTTTGTGGTATTGGAGTGTAGTAGATAGTCTAGTTCGTCCGCAAACTTGACGCCATCCACCTTAAATACCTTCTTCCCATGAAATGCACTCAAAAGGCTTTTGTGTAACAGGAGCCTGCTTTGCTACACAGATGAATGTTTGCCTATTCAAAAGTTCAGACACAGCATTGTGAGAATCCTAGTCGGAAAGCGCCAATTAAAGACGCTAACAGGATTGTTGAGGATTTGAGATATCAGCGTTCGCGTTTATTTCGGGGATTCTGAAAATCATGAGGGAATTTATCTCCGTTGACTCCTCCATATAGGTCGTAGTTCTGCAAGACCTCGTCGGCGGCAAACGGGTTATGAAATTGAGTCCAACTCCATTCATCACATACGAGACTGAGCTGCGATAGAGCTCGTTTGATATCCGCTTTTCTATTGTTGCCTGCGGGAACATACAAATCCGAAATAGCTCTCATAGCCATATCATGGCATGGCCTGAACTCTTGTATGTAGGAGTATTCATTGAATCCGGAACCTGTGTCTGCCAACGCTCGGCGCAAAAATCCGTCTCTAGCTTTTGCTGTAAGATCATGCCTCTCATAGGTTCTTGACTGGCCACCCCAGTCGCGTATATCTCGTTCAAAGTACGGCAGAGTGGTCACTAAGAAGTCTATTCTTGCATTCAGAGTGTAGTTTCTCAATCTACCAGCAATCTGGAACAACAAACTTGCAAGAAAGTATTCTGGTAGTGTCCATCGCCGCGGCTGTAGAGCCATGTTGGACTGGTCCCCGACCTGATAATTACTGGGGTACCAGGACATCTGAACGAAGTTTACTTTGAAGCAGAAAAGTGTTTCAGAGTTGATAAGAGAGTAGAGTCGAAAAGTAGGGGTTCAAGGAGAGAGTCTGAAAGTGTTGTAGAACAGTTATTTGTGTATTGAGTAGTATGGCTGAGTTCTGAAGTGGCAATTGTGGATTTGGTTTGTGGTTGAAATGTGGAAGAAAAGGAGCTCATGTTGGAAGAAGCTTCCGGATTTATATAGAGCTTAAATATAACAAAACCATTCAGAGGGTGTTCTGCTATGCTTATAAACCGGTTTGAAGGTCACTTATAACTTGGAATTACCACCGTATGCCATTCTCATACGGTCGAGTTCTATTGGTGCATTGAATAATAATCTGTGAATATTTCAAAAAAGATAAGCATCAAGCTTACGTAGCGAAACATTCCTATCATCTCCAACGTCTAGAGATGTTAATGTTTTCTTCAAGTGCCATAAGAACCATAACATAGCTCTAGTTATCAATACGTCAATTTCATACATCCGTGATGGTGCACTGAATGGTTAGCGCTAGTGACAGAGTAATATGACTTCTTGATGTATATGCACAGCAATGACTACCTCTTAACAAAAAAAAGATCAAGTTCACTATCCGCTACTCTGAATATATTGGTTTAACTAAACAAAAGTAAAGCGATACGGGATACATTTTTAGTTAATACTCGTATAGCCTCTAGCTAAATGAGTGCACTATGCCAAGAATATATCCAAGTGTGGATGTCTTCTGTAAGAAAGTGTCACGTGATTTCTCCCCCCTTACACGTGGGCAGGACGCATATTTCTCGGTAGTATAGAAAATTTAGTTGTACTATAGACACGCAGTATTAACATTCAAACTCTCTATTACAGTAACCAAATAGTCTAAAAAGATCAATTTAACTATTTCAGGACTTCTAGCATAATATCCTCGACGACTGGAGAGCCATGAGACACCCTTATCTTTATTATATATGTATCTCTACCTTGTCTGTAGAAATGCCGATACTAAAAGCCTGTAATACCAAGGTATCTCCTATTCTCAACTACGTCTTTTGCAAGGATCAAGCATTAGTCTTCATTCACGATCCTCCACTACGAATCAAAAAAGTTTATAACTTGGCGAAAGAGGAAAAATGATCACTGTGCTTGTACAACATACGCAAAACCTGTCCAAGTTGTCCATATATATATATAATCCCAATCGGGAAAGTGTCAACTGGTTAACCACCGCCAGTAGGGTAACCACATAAAAGACCCTAATCACTTCTCCAAAATAATACAAGCACGGCACATCCATAGCACCAAGTTCCCTCAAAGAACCAAAAAAGTCCGAAAAGAAAAAGCTCATGTGTGAAAACTCCCTAGAACGAAATGCAAAACACAACTATCCCCCCAAAAATAAAAAAATATGAATACCTCAGTCACAACACATCCAATAACCCACCCAACACATCCTCACCCAATCCCAATCCCAAACGACCCCCTCCCCCTTCCCAAAAAAGAGAACCCCCTTCCAACCCCCCTCCCCCCCAAAAAACAAAAAATGGCAAAAAAATAAACAAGCCAACAAGATAGCAATGCTCGGTTTCGATCCGAGGACCTCCGGGTTATGAGCCCGGCGCGCTTCCACTGCGCCACATTGCTTTTCAGAGTGCTGTTTGTTGAAACGAGAGTACGCTTATCCAGACTCATATATCGTAATGTGAAAACTCTGTTGAAAATCTTTACTTGACAGGTGAGCGAGTAAGAGGATTGTGCCGATGATGTGCCGGTTGGTGGTGGGTTTATTTGTGGGCCAGGATGGATGGAGTGGATGAAGTGCATGGATGAGTGAATGGAATAACAAAGACAGTTTTGGTTGGTTAGTGGGCAGCTGAGTCATTGTGTAGATGGTAGAGCTTACTGAAGTATAGATTATATTGTGATACAGATATGATATCAACCTTTTCCAACAAGAATGAATAGACCCCATTTAACTTCCATGAGAACATGCAAGCACAAAAAAAGGAACGGAGGAAGAGTCGCGCAGAAAAAAATCCCTTTCATTATTTTCTTCTCAAAAAGAAAGCCACTGCAATTTGTACATCCCAGCAGCTAAAGAACCCCAAACGCCCAAACAATGCAATCCCAAGTGCTCCGTCCCTTCCATTCCAATATCCCAAAAAGCATGACAAGAAAGAAGGAAGAATATACATCACGATCCACTAGGACCAGCCTCTTCATCTCCCTCACGATTGTCAAGTTTCTGTCTTTTCCCTCGAAGGAAATCCCCCAAAGTATTACTTAAACTTCTCGTCCTGGTCACTCTAGTCCACTCGCCTTCTGTTCCCAAAGATTTGCTAACGTGATCTAACGCGTTCGCCGTTTGCGGTGGTGTGTCTGATTCATCGTAGTAGCTACTGACATTCGTGCCATGTGATAACCGCTGCGACCCAGATTTTGACCTTCGAATTGATAGACGTGGTCGTTTTATACGTGGTGATTCAACACCACGTCGTAGTGTGTCTGCAACGACCACACTTAACCCACCAGAAAGTGGTGAGATAAAAGGCCCTGGTATCATACGCGCTATCGAATGTCTTGCAGCCGGTGTGACAGGTCGGTCTGCCTCTGGTGGTGCAGGAGATTGTTGTAAGTTGGGGTGCGTGTGTAAATTTCCATGCGAAGATGACCTGTCTGCCTCTTGTGGCCTCAATAAATCGCTGAGTGATGTTTGTGCATCCGTAGGGAGTACAGGAGTGGATATTGTGCTGATGACTGCGGGTTTTGGATCCAGAAGGCTTTCAGTTGATCCCGACCAAGGATTTTCGAGAACCGTTTGGTCCTCTTCCCGAGAGGATTGCGGGTAAGAAGCATTTGAAAACATTTTCGGGGTGCGCGGCCTCGAGGAGGACTCTGCAAAACTAACCCGAGATGACCTTCTGGTAACAGGATCAAAATCGTAGTTTGCGTCTCCATGCCGAGCCTGCACTTTTGGTCGTACTGATTCGAAGTTATTTTCCTTTAACGTGGGCGCAACCTCGGCACTGCTAGGATCCTGATGTAGAAGTCCGATTCTTTCTTCTCCTTCATCAGCATCGCCCCCAACCTCTTCCTCGTCATCATGAGAAGGTCTTCCGCTGGTGATGAGGTATACACCAAAGAAGGTCAAAAGACAGCCTCCAACAAATTTCGCTACGCTCTCTCCAGTGGTTTTCTCAAAGTCTCTGTACAGGATGGCACTTCCAATGATGACTGAGAGGGTAAACATAACAAATTGGATAGGGATGACCTGCGTCGAATCAAACCGCTGCAAAGCCCTATTGACATAACGGACTTGCATAACAGCTGTGCCTACTAGAACAGCAATGAGAGCATATGTCACGGGAGTGGTAAATGCTCTCCAAAGTGTCGAAGAAAGCATTGATGCAACGCCTTTGGTTGACAAAGCCGTATAGCCACCTAAAAAATGTCAGGGCAGAATCTGTAAATAAATGCACACCACTCACCAAATAAACCGACGAGCCCAAGGTCAATTAGTGACGTTTTATTTCCATACTTCGGACTTGCCCACATCAAAACCACTATCAGAAATATTGTGATGGCCATATAAATCTCGAATTCAAGATTCGTTATGGCGCCCCATATTTCATGAGGGCCAAATTTCTTCTCTTGGGTCTTTGCACTCAGCACTACCGTAACGGCTCCTCCCACAGCGACCACCACACCCCAGAAATCCCGCAACCTAAAATGTTCCTTCAACATGATCGGTGCTATCACACAGTTGGATATCAAAGCAACTACGCCCAACGGCGAAACGATCGAGGCCGGAGCGAAGCCATAAGCCAAGAAGTTGCCTGCTTCTCCAATCGTCATCAGAATGATGCCGCCCCACCAATATGGCGACTTGAGATATGTTTGAACATGCGTGGTCTCATGCTTGGAGCATGTAGAAGTATCGGAATCGGACGAGAGGAAGGATCTCCTCAATGGGTCGTCCTCGTCGCCATCCACCTGCTCGTGATTGTGGTCGTGATCCGAATGGTGCCCGTTCGTGCCCGCTGTCCCATAGCCACCCTGGAGACCTTTTGATAAAGCCTTTGCCCTCTCTTTTCGCTTTGCCTTCTCTTCGTGTAGTCGTATATGCGCATACCGTTGGATGTTGAGGGCAAACGATATTAGGATGTTCCCGATGATTGCTGTGACGATGCCAATCAATGACGACCAGCGCTGCAGCTGTGTCCCCCCATCTGCGACCAAGAATATACTGCTGAGACCGAAAAGAGAAGAAGCTGGAGAATTCGACAAAGAGCTGGGATCGGTAGGAGTGGCAGTGTCGACAGCAGGTGCGGAGAGATACATGGCAATTTTGAGGTTGTAATTGATCGACTTTCAAGTTTCACCCCCTCATAGGCCCCCGCAGAGCGAACGACTCCCGGAAAGTTGTGTTGAAGGCAGATTCCGACATAAGCTTGAGGAGATATGGGACCTTGAATCGGTAGAGAGCGATGATGGACTTGCAGCTGAATTTTCTCCGATTTCCGTTTCCAGGTGAATACTCGTACTGTACGAATATGTCCTCGTAGGACTGCGGAAAGTGGATGCGGTTGGTTGCGAGCTTTCGGGGTTGATGCGGCTACATCGTCATCTGGCAGAACCAAGCCAAGACTCCGAACACCCCAGAACGCCCGCACGCGCCTGCAGAGTCATAACCGCAACGAAGCGCGAACCTTTTTGGAGCCTCTCGAGCCTCCCTGACTCCCAAGGACAATAAACACGATACCAAACTGCGACGCGCCGAAAAATGAGCGACGACGATGATTTCGAGGTCGATACGCCTGAATTGGCAGCGGATGATCTCATGAGGGCATTCCTGCCGCAGTCCTTTGGAAAGAAAACCAAAGAGGCAGATGTTGCGGCGCAAATTGGGCGCACAAAAAGGGTGGTTGATAAAGCTTCAGTGCAGGCAATTCCAGCAATTGCATCACAGGAAGTAGAAGCAGGGACCGAGAGCCGGGCAAATCAAGAGCCAGCATTGAAGGACTACGGATCCGACGACTCAGACGACTCAGACGACTCCGACGAATCTGAAGAGGACGAATTTCCCGTCTCCCATGAACTGGTCCTAAAAACCCACGATCGCGCAGTCACCACCACGGCCCTCGACCCCTCGGGATCACGGTTAATCAGTGGCTCTATAGATTGTACCCTCAAGCTGCACGACTTTGCTTCTATGACACCTACAACATTACGAGCATTCAAAAGTGTTGACCCAAGTGCTTCGAAAACGTCGACCAATTCCGAGACACATCCTATCAACCATGTGGAATTCAATCCCCTCTCAGGAGGCACCTTCCTATGCGTATCGGCACATCCTCAAGCAAAAGTGATGAGCAGAGATGGTGAGGTGCTGGCAGAATTCCAAAAGGGAGATATGTATTTAAGGGATATGAACAACACTAAGGGACATATCTCGGAAGTAACAACCGGCACATGGAATCCAGCAAACAGAGACATTTGCGTCACGGCTGGTACAGACAGCACGTTGCGAATTTGGGATGTCAATTTCCGGAGAAGTCAAAAAGAAGTGATTGTGCATAAGTCGAGAGCAGCAGGTTCGGCGGGAAGAACGAGAATGACTGCGGTGGTATGGGGAAGTCCTTTGCAGGGTGGCAGTAATATCTTGGTTGCAACGGCCCTGGATGGAAGTCTCGTTATGTGGAGTGGCGATGGACCTTTTGCCAGACCGACAGCAGAAATTAGAGAAGCCCATACACCAAATACATGGACCGGGGGCCTTGATATAAGCCCCGATGGTCGAATGGTTGTCACCAGAGGTGGTGATAACCTTATCAAGTTATGGGATACACGAAGGTTCAAGACACCTGTGGTTACCGTATCCCATCCTTCAACGTCAGATCATTATTCCATGACGAATATCAAGTATTCTCCCAATGGATCCAGCATCTTGACAGGATCAGTATCTGGTCACCTGCACATATTAAATCCAGGAAATTTAAAACCAGAACTTGTCACGCCAGTAACTCCAGGATCGCCATTAATTACAGTGCAATGGCATCCAAAGCTCAATCAAATTGTAACAGGATCCGCCAACTCAGAAGTTCACGTGCTTTACAATCCAAATACCTCTTCCCGAGGAGCAGTGGATGTTATGTCCCGAGCCCCTAAGAAGCGCCACGTCGACGATGACCCCAACTTTACCACCGACCAATCAACGGGAATTTCTGGAGACAGCATCATCACTCCAGGAGGCGTTCTAACAAACACCAATACCTCCTCCTACGCAGCTCGCCATCCCACAGTGGGCCTCACAGCCTCTGGCAGATCCCGTGATCCTCGCAGACCACAAATCCCTATGGTCACTCCTTTCATGAAATCTAAACCTGATGAGCAGTTTATTAATGACAGTATCCCACTGAGTAGTATGCGTGATGAAGACCCTCGCGAAGCTTTATTGAAATACGCAGATTTGGCGAAGAATGATCCAATGTTCACGAATGCGTGGAAGGAGACTCAGCCCGTGACTCAATATCGGGAGGCGAGTGATGACGAAGATGATGGGCCGGAGAAGAAGAAGGTTAAACGATAAAATTTAGTGCACTCACAAAGACATCTTTGATACCCGGAGTTATGGGAGCGAGGAAAATAGCAAAATGGAGTTAATGTTTATAGGAAAAGATATCACTTTTAGGCCACCAGATGTGAAGCCCTAATTTCGAAATTGGAAGTTCTAAATAGCTTGAAATGATTACTTACATGCACCCCAAATTTCTCTCTTCCTTTCCTCCTTAACCATATGCATTCAGCAGCATAGCATTCTACCTAAAAATCCACGAATCTCGTATCATCACAGTACGTACTCGTACACACAATAAAACCAGAAGAATCGAAGAGACAGCCATCCCCACATACTGTAGTCTAGCGCACCCAAGCCCCCAAGTCCCTCCACCATGCATCCAAGCCAGTCTTCCACTATTCTTTTTCCTTCTCGTTTTGTTGCACATCGCGATTTCGTCACACGTTTTTTGCATGCTTTTTTCTCCGCGGTTTTGCGCACGACGGTTGCGGTTTTTAGTGGTTGGAGGGTTTTGTGTGGGGCACGTGAACACGTGGGGATCGCGTGGGTTGGGTAGGTTTTTGGGTTTTTGGTGGTGGCGTGGAGGAGTCGATGAGTCAATGTTGAGCTGAGGTGGGGAGGTCGTGGGGATGAAGGTTCTTTTTTTTCTTGCCTTTTTTTTGTGGTTTTGGGGAGAGGATAAAGACAGGTTTGATTTGGGGATTTTGACGGGTTGGTTTACGGGGATGGAAGGGGGTTTTTCTGTGGTTGGGATTTGGGTAGGTCTGGGGCACTGGGGGTGGTATGTTGCTCGCCTATGGGAGTTGAGTTATTGGTGTTGGGCTCCTGGGGGAGTCGACGAGTGGTAAAAAGTTCTCTTTTACTAGCATCAAATATGCACGAAGAGAAATCTGAGCTAGACAGGCCCTTGAACTGATCGAACAATTAGCCGAAAATCTCAGACAAATATGGCTATTGTCCTATGTATTTCAATACTTCAAATTGAGTTACGCCAATTGAAAGAAAAGGAATCTCTGCTATTGGTCTTTTCCGACAGCTAGACGTCTAATTCAGATAAACATAAAGACAGTCCTTGGCTCGTGGCCGAGGGAAACTCATGTTACTTTGACTTTGACTTTGATGACGAAGTTAATAGAAGTGTGCCTATTTATCCTTATGACAACCGCTAAAGTTCTATGTAAGCGTTCCATATAGGTCCATAGTAGGGAAAGCAAGTTCAACTCGTAGAGAAACGCGGTAGCGTATGGATTTTCCTGTGCCATGTAAGCAAGGGTTGTCAAGAGGCTTTATTGAAATAGTCAACTTACGAGATGTGCTGCATTGTTCCTAACTTCTTCCACCCATAATCCCGATCCTCTAATGGTTTGTTTCTATGCGCCAATTTCTGACTTGAATAGCAATTTCCATGAGGGGTGCATACTTAGCCCAACGTCTGTCACGCCTGACAATTTGCCCAGGCCTTTTTGGGTAAGCCTGTCAATTCCGCATCTCTTTCTTCGCTTGGTAGTTTCCGGTAAGAATCCTCCAAGGGGCGTTGGATTGTCTAACTACAGGAGGTCAAATTATTCATAATTAGTAAAAGTATCATATTTCCACTACAAAATAGTTACCCTACAAAGAATTTGAAAATACCAAGCCTTCTACTGTTATGGCAGAAGCACCCTGGCCATCACCACCTGGCCCAGCATACGCTGGTCCGTACTATGACCATACGATAGCCTATTCCAGGGCACTCCAATTGGCCAGGACCGTCCTATAAGATGCACCTTTTGCCATCTGGCTAGCTCTTCTCTCTATCCTTACTTTATTCCCACACTGCTCCTGGTCTTTTCTGACACCTATCAAACATTTAGATGTGCTTTCTTCGTGCTGTTTCTGCCCCATTTCCGTGATGTCACATTGTTCTCCTTCTTGGATCCTGCGCGTCTTTCAGAATTGATCGCTACAACTTTGTCAAACTCGACTTCTAGAGTCTTGTATAACGATACGCCTTCATATGTTTCGGTCACGTACATGTCAAAATCGTCGTCGCCGTAGCTTACTAACATTATCTTAGCAAAAGCTTCCTTGAATTTGCTCATATCGTCGTCGTCCACACAGCCGTAGGTAGCGATAGTTTTCATTGTTGCGTTCCAGCTTATGACTTGACTCAGCTTTGGAGAAAACGTCTCAATGACATTTCTATGGTCATAGCCATAGTGTGCTTCAAAGTACTCCGAGTCAATTCTTCGCGGGAAGGGTAGGTCTGATTCGTATAGCAGAGCATCAGCAATTACGTCGGCCTATATTAAAATCAAATCAGCAAGCAATCCTCAAAGAAGGTTTCCAAAAAGGGCTCCGAGGCACTCACATCATGAGCCGCGGCGTTACCAATTTCCTTCACTCGCGTGTCCTGGTCCTTCCAAGGCTTAGTTTTCTCCATGCGTCTATTACGAAGCTTTGCTCCAGCGACAATCAAAGGCTTGAACTTCTCAGTATACATTTTCAGCTTGGAAATCTCTTCATGCGCATGCGCTCTTTCCGCTCGAGTCAACTCATCCATAAGATGTTCTTGGGCCTGTAATTTCTCCTTCTGCTCGTCAACGGTCTTCTGAAGTTTATTGAGGACAGCGGTTTGGTTTGAAATCTTCTGTTTTTGTCCCTCGAGCTTCTTTACAAGGTTCAGATGTGTTTCGCCCTCTTTCTGGGTTGACTCCTGCTGCAGACGTTTAACCTCTCTAGTAAGTTTGTCATTTTCTAGTTTCAGATTGTCCAACTGTGCTTGTACTTCTGGCATGCTCTTAGATGTATGTTTTTCCAACAGAACATTCAGATCCTTAATTCTGTCTTTATACTCCTTCATGACATTCTCAAATTCGATTGCTTGAGCAGGGCCATTCAAAGCCGCCCATCTGTCCATGATTTCGTCTAGGAGTTTCTGCATTATGTCGAAATTGGTCGAAAGATCGGCGAACAATTGGCTCTCAGCATCTTTCATAGCCAAAAGATCTTCTTGCTGCTTCCGCAAAGAATCGCATTGGTAGTGTAACGACTCTGGATTTTCTTTCATTGAGGTACAATCAGGTGTATCATTTCTCTTTACCTCAGAACGTCAAACTTCGCTCTCGAGGATTGTCTTCTCAAATCTTAGAAAACTACTCTTGTGTTTGAGCAAACAATCCTTGATCTCCTTGGAAAGTTTTTCCCTCCAGAGAGCATCAGAATCACATGCGAAACCCTGCTCCAAGTCTTCTTTCCGGACCGCTTCGAGATTCTCAACATGTGAATGTCGGGGTTGACTGGGTGGATCGTTAGAGGTATCGATATCTTCTGCGCATCCACTTTCCTTCTTCGATTCCACGGTTTCCAAACTCAACTTTTGCTCTCTTTCATTTGCTTCCTTGAGTACCTCCTCAGGATATTCAACCGCGTCTTGATGGCTTAGTTGCATTTCTTTTGTTCTTTTGGTGATCTCTTGGGTTGTTCGGGGGAGGCGCTCGATTTCCTGGTCCTTCTCCCAGATGGGAACCTCGGAAGTCATATCGGCATGAACTCGAGCGTACGTCATATTGCGGATGAACTCTTCCTGTACCTCTAACGGCAGACTCTTGAAATAGTCCAAATCCTCTTGGGTGAGGCGTGAATCTTCCATATGTGGAATTTTTGTTTGGATTCTCAAATAAATAAGTCGGCGTTGTAGTTGGTCTGCTGCATGATCGAAATCTTCTCTATGGTCATGGTGGTCATGGTGGTCATGGTGGTTGTGGTGGTTGTGGTGGTTATCGGCTTCATGTTTCTTGTCCTTGCAATAATGTTGTTTACGAACAAGAGGCGTATTTAGTTGCCGACCTCTTCAAGAAAATCCTATTACCAATCTCCTGCATTTTGCTATTCACTCACTTACACAGACCTTTTCAATAACCCAAAACCGCGTGAAAGAGGTTGATGCCAGCCTCCATCTGCCGGATATTATCGCTTGAAACTGGATGGTGTTGTTCACCATTGGACTCATAATTCTTCCCTTCACCCTCAAATTCTTCACTCTGTCCAGCCAATTTTACAACTTCTTGTAAGTCCGATCCGCCGGTTACTTAGAATGTTCCAATTCGATTCACCGGCTTCAACTCAGGCACAGAATTGGCCTTCGGTTACGAGCAGGCATGTGGAGAAGACGCATCATCCATATCTTGTCGGCTATTCGGAACCTTGTATACAAAGACTCCCTACATTCTGCTTGGTTGCTACCTCCATCACTTTTTCGAGCTTTCGATATGTCTCCTCCATTAACCCAAACAAGCATGGATATTTCCGGCATTTGCAGAAAGCCTGTCGAGTTATGCATATTGGAGGAACACGTAGACATCCTGGCACATCAAATCCCCCAAGGAAAGGAATTTTTTTCGATTATCAAAGCGAGCCTCAGAAAAGTCGATGAACCTCCGGTAGGAACAGCCAGAACCGAGCACTGGAGATTCGCTTGCCAAAGTTATCTCCGAAATGTCAGCAAAATACTTTCATGGGTCACCTTTAGGCGCCAAATACTTTACCGCGAAGCCCAAGCAGACTTGTGGAACAAGACCAAATCTTTTGATCATACTTTTACGAAGAGTCGGATTCCACGAGCGGTTATCCAAACTCAGAAAGAGACTGTCTCATTGGCTCTGCAGGCGACGGCTCAGAAAGAGAGAGATGACCCGGAGTTGACGTTGGTACATGAGTCACAATCAAAGGTGCCCCCAGGTAGCGATTCTACAAACATAGTCCCCGACGGTCTCACTGAAGTACAATCCTCGAATGTAAGCCAGAAAAACCCATCCATCAAAAACGAACCACAACCCAGGGAAAGCCAAGTACAGGTCGTTGATAGAGAATTACGAAATTTGAAGATGACAATGCAACGAGACCAAGCGAAGATGCAATATATGAGAAAGAGAATGTTTGGGCAAAAGTTAACATGAAGGCGGGCAGTGAGGTGGAATCGTGGGAGATCTTTTCCAACATATAATGTCTGGCCACAAGCCACTATGTGTCTACTCATTCTTCAGCGAAGACATAAGTGGTCTTGTGCCAAAAGAATGAGATCTGCTAGTTATGTATATTGGGAATGAAAGGGGTCACTTTGGAGCTGCTTACCTTGAACTACCCCGATCCAAACTAGACCTATCACACCTAGAAGAGCTCTCGTGGGTTGTAGAGAATGACGGGACATCGTCTTATTCTCGAGTAATATATGGGTAAATGGATATCTTTCACGACGTTTTAATCGCTCATTGTGCATGATGACTTGATCTGCTTGGGGTATCCCGCCTCTGGACAGTAATCCCTCTCTGTCTTATTTCAAGAGATAAACAAAATCGACTCAATAGCGGTGTCACCCAAATGAAAATGAAGAGGGGGATTTCGAAGACTCCCTCAATACTCAAGAATCATTGTATAATTACATGTGCCAGATTTACTTGTTTAGGGCACTTCCCCAATTTAAATAGGCAACTATCAAATCTGGTACGAATTATGTAAATATCAAATTGATTTCTACTAGAAAACTTTATGTCTGAAGCCAAACCAAACACATATACACAGCAGTCATAATTCCGCCATAATACTTACCAAAACCCTACCAGAAGGAGTCCAGGGAATAACAGGGGGAAATCTCGGTTACGGCACAAGACAGGGGTGGTAACCACAGTAAATAGAAGGGCTGTTGTACGGTGAATATGTTTTGAGAAGCACTTGTATATTAAGCGATCAAATCTAACCACATGAAGTTTTTCGTACTCTTGAAATTTTTACAGTGGTGTACTTGAGTACTACTGATGTTGCAGTTGTTTCGCTTACAAATGAGGTGGGTACAGGGGTGTTGTTGTCCCTCGAGGTCGCTTATCGCATTTCACGTGACAACGGATAAACCCACACCATGACTAACTACAATAGGATAAGCCGATCTTCAACGACAACCTCACTTCTTCATTTCTTCACCTCTTACAACCCTAACCAGGACACCACATAGAAACAAGATGTTTCTAATTGAGCCATACAATGGTAACTTCTGGGAACGCATACCAGAAGCTGGTCAAAATCATCAAGTTGATTTGATACTTGCTACACACTGGCGGCTAGAACCCCCCTTCACTTGCTTCTCCTGTCCTCAAATTGCATTTGCGATCTCATGTTTTCAAGATCCCCTATCGTTGGTTCAAATTTGTTGGCAGATTACACAAAGTCCCAAGCATGTTTTGCGGAATACCCACTATTCCTTGATAGATTGTTTCAAGCACGGAACTATCTACCAAGCAATTTCCAGAAAAGGTGTACACAACATTAGTACCTGCATGCAGCTGCATGTACTCCTTGAGCGCTAAGATTGTCAACAACTTGTTGTTCTGTTCTTCTTCACGATCAATCAGATCTCTTTCACAAGAACCATTCAATTTTCTAATTCAATTCTGATGAATGACTCCTCCCTGAGGTCTTTGGTGAAGCACTTGGTGCAGATGTTTTAAGCGATCGACGCAACCACTCGGTGTTTATTTGATCCAATCCGACTGTCGTGCTAGCCTTATCAGCTTGGAACCCCCTCCTCCACTTTGTGAGTTTTTTGATCTACCAAAAACTTTTTTTTCAACAACCTCGTCTCCGCAGTTGGCGCTACAAAACGCAGTAGAACGCAGTGTCGCAATGGCTTTCACAGAGAATACACCACCCGCAACGCCTTCTTCTAACGCAAGACTTAGGCGTCTCAAGTCTCTGAAGAAAACCTTCAAGGTACCTTCTTCAATGGGCTCTATCACCTCTCCTCGTATTCGTAAGTCTGTCTGCTCTCCGCTTTTGCTATTGAGATGAGATCGGTAGTGTCATCTAATGACCCTGCATCGGATTGAACTTGGCCTGTCTGGAATTAGAATAATGCTGACCAAGATATATATATAGGGGCCGAAAGTGGTCAACCAGAGCCAGCGACACCAAAGAATGTAGCTTCGCCGCTATCTACTGGTGGGACTCTACAGTATTACACTCCAATCAATGCTCCAGCTGGTCATGCTCCAACCGACAACGACAACGACACCGACAACGACAACGACAATGACAACAACAACTACAACGACAACGATAACGACAATGATAAACACAACGTCGTAACAAAAAACAGTGCCATCAACAAAGGCAAGACTGTTGATACAACCCTTGTCAACCGGACTGGCCACGCCTACCAAAGCGACCATTTAGCACCTGGCAACCAAGTCGCGAACGCACCTCTCAACAAAGGCACGAACGCAACGAACGCGACATCAACTAACAACGTCACAAGCGCAGCAACCCTTGACCAAGCTAACAACACAACTTCTGACAACGACGCTCCTTCTGAGGAAGCTCCTACCACGAAGCTACAAACCAGAATTAAAGGTCAATTCATTGCGCAAATGGACATGCTTGAGCTTCTACCTCAGCGAATTCATATTCGCAAGGTTGGAAAGGAGTTGTGTGAGCAAAAGGCTCAAATCTACGAGTTGGAAGAAGAGTCTGCGTCTGCCCTCGAAGGACTGCCCTACATGGAGATGCAGTATCACAGCTCTAAGCTAAAGTACAATCAGCTCCTCGAAATCTATGGGGAAAAGGAGCGAATTGCCGAGGCACTCTTGAAGGATACTGCAAACATGTCTCCAATGGAGAAACTCACGGCTCGTCGAGCAGAACTGGCTGTCGTCGAGATGAAGCCTGAAATCCTTCGCCGAGCCATCGATCTTGAAGAGTTAGAGTTGGTTCTGGCTGAGAAGAAATCAAAGTCAATGAACGCCGAAGACAAAATCGCTGCATTGAAGGAGAAGGTAGACAATAACCAGGAGATGTTGGCCGTCACCGAAAAGGAGGCAGATGCGCATGTTTTCAAATTTTCGGATACGCTACCTGCCAGCTCATTGACCCCAGCCGGCATCAAAGCATCACTCGAAACAACTGTTAAGGTTCTGACAGAGAGATTGGATCAGGTAGAGCTACTCCTAGAGTCCGTTACCGAAATTGAGAAGAAGGGGGACGACGAGGGAGATGACGAGGACGCTATTCAACACAATCGACTCAGAAAGACCCGTTCGGCACTTATTAAGGAACTCGAGGAGGCTCACGAACGTAATGAGTGAGTATCATCATTTTGTTTCCGAATTTCTATCAAACATGATAACTGACTTCAAGGTTCTGCAGGCAACTTATTCCATTGTTCCTTGTTGGCTACCACGTTCGCTCAAAGCGCATCGAGGAGCTCATCGCAAAGAAGGGTAATCGGAAGCCTGACGTTCATCTACTCGCCACAGGTTCTGCCGCCGCTCTTGATGCTGACGTAAAGGCCGACGCTACCTTGGATGTCCATTTCAAAAACGACAAGCTCAAGCAGGATGGCAAGTCCACTTACTTCAAAGACTTCTATCACCTCGATCCAGAGCTCGTATGGAAGCACAGAAACTTCACAATGTTCGTTGACATGATCAACATGGGTGTAGATATGGATACATGGCGCAACCGAACCCCGGCTTTTGTCGACAACTACAATAAGCTCATTAAGGAGATTCTCCCCGATTTCAAGATCGGCAGTGATGAGGAGCTTCAAGCCGTGTTTGAGTTGGATCGCGCTTTCGGTACCATGGACGCAACGTACAACAAGATCGCCTACGACTTGCGAAAGCCGGCAATCCTCGCGGAGAACTATAAGCTGCCAGCTGCAGGTCCAAGTGCTGCCCCAGCCGGTGACAAAGCTCGTTCAGGTTAACCGGGTTAAAGGGACTGGGATGGAATACAACATACGGAGGTGCACTGATAGACGGGCAGATACCCACGGTCGGCTATAAGCAGAAGCTTGGTTTACAGTCACAAGCATTCTTGTATTTTGTTTTCATTTCTTTTACCTAGAACCAAGCATTGAGCAACAGACTCTGGATGATGATTGGGAGGAAATCTTAAGTCTTGAGTTGTATTCTTGCTTTAATACACTCAGCTCTGTACACACTTCTTTCTTTCTTGTTCTTTCTCCTAACATGTAAATTAGTACATGGATGGAAATGAAATGAAGCTGTTTATAAATCTTATTTCGATGACTTCGTGCTCACTGATTCTCGTATATCTCGTGCTCTACCCATCGCCTCTGTAAGTTGACAGTTAGATGTTGTGCAATAGAGCAAACACTGCTGGTAATTTGTAACAGCAAATAACCACGGTCACGAAAGATTAGAGTTCATTTATAGTTTCTCAATTTGTATACTATGTCTGCACTATCCTCGATAGAACAGAGCTCTGATCATTTCCTCCGAAAAACAAACTTTGCAATTTTGGCTTCCCCAATCACTAGCCATGACACCCATGACTCTCCATATCAATCCACCCCAAATGTCGAAACGCAAGTAGAAGCCACAGGCCTCAACATAAACCATGAATGTACAACCATAACAGAAAACCATTTTTTGGAAAAGAAAACTCAACGCCAACATTCATATGAGTATGATCCATACCACCATAAAAGAAAACCAGCCCACTGCTATCCTCACACACCCCCGAACACATCCCCTTCGCCTCCCCCATGAACAGAAATACATCAGAAAAAAGGTTCATGTTAAAATCCACCAGCATTGAGAGAGAGATAAACACAGTTCCCATCTTGTCCCGAACTACTACAGAAGAGCTCCGCAAGGGAATCCTTAAGCAGCGGTTGGCGTGAATCGAGATGGCGGAACTGGTCTATACAAACTCATAAATACTCCTTCGAGAAGCAACAACGATTCCATCGTTAGTTTTACTATAGGTACGTAGATATATTAGGTTAATCTTTATACTTTGTAAAGAAGAATACGTGTCTATATCTCCTAAAGATAAGAACTTCTTTACTATCTTCTACTATTAATTTATTCATAGATTATTAAATATAACTCTAATTCTATTTATATTAGCTAGGTAGAATAAGAATAGCGTATCTATTAGAAGTATAAAGAATTTAATAATACTAATTAGAATATATCCGTTAATTAATCTAAGGTTCTTTATACTCTTACTAATACTAAATTTAATCCTTATTTTACTAGCTATAGACGTATCTATCTAGGTTGTGTATAATATAGAGTACGCTAGGTATTAGCTATATCTAACAAAAGATAAGTTATATTAGCGGCTCCTATATTAATAAGAATACTAAAGAAGAACCTAGGTCTATATCTCTTTTAGTTAGTAGAAGGGTTAGTAAGATACGTAGTAATATCTCTATATTCTTAAATATACTCGATATCTTAACCTTTAGATAATATATATATAAATATATAATTTTCTAAGTTTTACGTAATTCTTCTACTAGTTTTATTATTAATTTTATTACTATACATTATCTAAACAGCTCTATTAATTAATATTTTATTACCCGAATTACCTTGTTCGTCTTTAAACTATTGACTTATATATACTCCGGATATTTACAGTTTAGAATCCTACCCTTCTGTATCTATTACGTATTAAGTAAACTTTCTTTTATTATTAAAGCGGTAATATTCAGGTAGGTTATTTCTCTTTAAATCGTATGAAGATCCCTTAATCTAAGATCTAAAGTTTAAGCCTTACTATACCCTACTAATATATGAATAGTATACTAGATTACCTAATAGTCTAGTTTACTATACTAAGCCTAAACCTAAATATAAAGCTAACCCTAAGCCTACTCCTATTTCTTAACCTAACTCTAATATTTTATTATCTTTATTTAAAGTCTTTTCTATCTTTAAAAATCTTGTTATTAATACTTAGTACTCTAGTAAAGTTTAATTTTTTAGATATTTTTATTCCTTTTACTCTAGACGCTATAAATAATAATAAAGAGTTTTATATTAAAAGTCTTTAAAAAGAGCTTAAAAATAATAATTATTAAGTTTATATACCTTTACTTATATCTAAACCTATACTATTATAATTAAAAAAAGTATACTAATAATGTAAAGTCTATATTACTTCTTACTTTAGTTATACTCGAGTTACATTATATAGAGAAGATAAGGATAAGAGTATATATTATAATATTTTAGGTATACGCGTAGATATATACTACTTCTACTACTCTAAAGGTTATACCTATTGTAACTGTGTGGAGTGAACCACTGCTTGCTGTGATGAATACGGAGTCAAACGGAAACTGCTGTATTGAGCGAACAACTAAGTGAGGAGGAGAGAATAGAGTTCCAGAGGAATGGAAGCTTAAATACAGGATGCCAGCGGCACGCACGTGCCGTGCTACACGTGACCAGACCCCAGTCCCTCCAACTCCGTAACACCTATAAACCTCTTCTACTACTCTATACTCTCTTCGCGCTTTAGCTTTAGAGTATTCTTTATAAACCTTAAGGCTCTAATAGAAAATCTAAGTAAAATATTTAATAAATCTTAGTTTAAATTATACTAATTTAAGATAAACGAATTAGGAAATATTATACTATAGTTAACTAAGTACTAGAGTATTATAGAAATAAGAAGCTTAATAATATACTTATTACTACTCGCTTATAAAAGTATTCTACTATAATAGCACTTAGTAGAAAGTAAGTTAGAGAGACTTCTATAACTAGTACTACTAGAAAAGATACTATTATACTTATAAAAACTAATACTAAACTTATAGAGGAAGTAGAGCCCTTTAATAATATTAAGACTATGTTCCTAGCTTTAGGTAGTACTATTAATAAGTTAAGAAAACGTTTAGCTAGTAATAATAGAAACTAATTATAATTAGTTATTTTTAAAAGTATTTTAAGTAAATAATACCCTAGAAATAAATTAAATAAAATACTTTACTATTCTTCTATAAATAACTTTAGAGCTATTATAAAAATAGTAATAACTAATAACTTATTTAAAGCTATTATAAAAACCGTAGTAGTTAAGTACTAACTACCTGAGTTAGTAAAAGTATAATAAATGAGTATAACCCTATAAAGAATAGGCCCTTACGGACGAGATTAACCTAATACTATTAAGTAAAATCCAGTTATAGCTCCTAAACTCGCGGAGTAAAGCTATCTACTAAAGAGGCTTGCCTACTTACGAAGTCTGTCTTGGATAGGAACTACTCTACTAAACCTAGTAATATTTTATATCGCGGATAGCTTTACTAGTATAATACAAAAACAACTTCAAAATCGCTCTTTCAAAATCGGTTCCATCTTCGTCCCTTCCGTCACAAATTAGACAATATATATAGCGCTAAGTCTTGACCTCTCAATTAAGTTCCTCGAGAATCTCTTCGCGAAAGAGCCTACCCACCTACGTAGAGCTTTATACGAACCGCTTTGCTATTACGAATACCCCCTACGAGCCGATTGAAACGACACCCCTCGGTCACATAGACAAGAACCTACAAACTTCATATGCGGAAGAGCCTCGAATACACGCATTCGTAAATACCAGACTGCTGGTACACCTACTTTATACCCCGAATTTGCTCATTCACGCTGCCGGTACGAGTTACCACACTATCAGTACAAACTTCTAAGAATAACCCGATATTCACCTTGCAAAAGAGCCTCAAATACCCCGCATTACAGCACACGTCACTTCTATTTACCAAGTAGGAAAGTTACCTGTACGAGTACGTACGAGTACGAGCTACAAGTACGAGTCACCTACAAAACAACCCCCTTTTGATAAGCGAGATGCTAACTCCCGACCTTACAGAAGATCTTATAGATCTTTCTGATCTACTAACACCTACCGACGTATACACGTCCTCCTACTATCGTATCTATCCTTCTATCGTATCCTTACTATCGACCATGCTCGCTGTTACTACCGGACAGGGTTATACCCTAGTATATTATTTAGGAGAGAGAGAGAGAGATAGAAGTAAAGAAATATTTTAATTATAATCTTACGCGTTACTTATCCTTAGCCCCGAATAGTACCTTCCTATAATGGCTAGGCTAGCACGTATTCCGCCAACAATTGTTTACTACTTACCTTTCCTCGCTCTCTGCCTCCTACTTTTCTCCTCTCTTTTTTTACAACAGCGACGGCAAGGATACGATAGCGAGGGAGCGATAGTAAGAGTGAAAGGAAGAGTACGAGAGTAAGTATAGACGGCAGAGGGAGAAAAGGCAGCAAGACGTGAAAATTACTAGGTACGTGAAGTCTAAGGGTGGGGGTGTGGGGTATAGGCACTCTGGCACATTAGTAGTAAATATATGACTTTTATGATTAGCGATTTGCGAATTAGTTTTTACTTTATTTTGCTCTTTAGTACATTCAGGATGCCGTACATGCTTGATTGAAGAAATAAGATGCTACCTATTTTGAAGTATATTACAAAGGTTTGAAATGAGCAGAATAATTCTAGGCGATTTCAGCAAAGAAAAGAAACCCAATGCAAGCTAACCTTGGTTCTTACTCTTCAAAAAAGCTCGTCTTGGGCATGAAATTCTTTGTAACTCACAGGTGGCCTTTTTCTTGTGCGCGTCTCGAGGATCTCCGGGTTACCCCGGTTGGCAATTTCATCATCCAAGTGAGTCCTCTTTCCGGGGACCTGCTTTTGCAAGGGGGGAGATATTGCCAAGCGCGGTTGTTCATGAGTAATTTTGAAGTGCTTGTCTTCTGAGGTAGACAGATGGGCTTGGGCAGACTCCAAAAGAAGTTCTCGGGATACTTGAAGGTGTTGCGAGACTGGGAGCTTTCTGTATACTTCCAACATCGATTCGTATTCCTGTTGGTCGTTTGGCCTGCCACTCTTCTCTGCTTCTAATGCCATTTTCAGTTCTTCGACTACAGTCTTGAGTTTTTCCGCTAATTCGACGGCTTTGGAGGCTTCTCTGGGTTCTGGTGATGGGGAGATGTTCTCTAGGAGAGAACGCAACTCCGAGTACGCATAGTCTCTCTCGGCCTTCGCTTCCGGGAATCTTGACTTCATGTTCTGCATCGTCTGAATTCGCCTTTTGTAAAAATCAATTCTTTCTCTTCTTTCTCAAGCCACTCGCGACATTCAATGATTTTAGTATCGGAGGCTAAAAGTCGTGCGTACTCCAAAGAGAGCTTCTCTGCTTCGCTGTTGGCTTGTTTTGCCAGTGGAGTCTCTCCTCCATGCTGACTTCCTGCATATTTCTTGCGTATGAAATCTGAAGTTCTTCACATCTCGCTCTGTAGTCTAACCAATCGTTGCTAGCCTTGATTTCGTAGTTTTGAAGCTTGTTTTGTGTCTCGCGACATGAGACTTTCAAGGATTCAATCTCCTTGTTCAAAACCCTAGATTGAAGATCACCCTTGCAAGAAGCTTCAACTATATCGAGAACCTCCAGCTTTTTATCCAAACATTTCTTGAGCAGCTCTGCTGCCGTTAACCACTCCCTTTCAATCTTTTCCCGCTGGCTCTTTGACCGGCGGGATATAATATCCAGTATATCCATGTTATGAGTTGTTCGGGATGTCGTTCTTTGCGTATGAAGGTTTCGTAGAGAGAAGGAAGCTCTCTATTAGACTTGGTCAGCTGACTTTCTGCCGAAGGCAATTTTGAAGAACTCACCTTCGTGATACCAGATGATGATAAACTGGTGCTCTGTAAGCTGAATCGACTTTCGCTGGGTAGTGAGAGAGTCAGGTGGGACAGTTTGTGGCAATGAAAGACTTTGGGGATCTCAAGTCAGCCACTTCTTAATCTTAAATAGAATGGGTGACGACTTACCAGCTGCTCAAGGGATATTCAGATGTCGAAAAAGACGTTGTTATTAATTAGACTTTGAGATAAGACACCCTACCTCTGTAAGTCAGTTCTAGCGGTTCTAGAAAGGCTAACAATAGAGCTAAGTGTCTCTTACCTGCTAGGTTTGCTTGCTCTACTATGTTCTCTAGATATAGAAAAGGGAACAAACCACCTCTAGGCTTTTTTAAAGGTGAAGAGCGTCTAGGGGATATAAAAGTAGATATCGTGAGATAAGAGAAGATGAGGTTGATAATGAACGATAATAGAAAGATCCTTTGAGGACCCTGGGGAGTTGAGGTTGTGTTTTGGTCTAGAGATTGTGTGTTATGTGTTGAGGTTATTGGAGAAGGATTGTGGTGAGGTAGATGGTTCGGTGCTGTTGATTGCGAATGAAGAGCCAAGAGACTTGGTAAGCGGTAAAGTGCGTCAATGAACTTCTTCCTCTGAGATTAATGCTCTGAGACTGCTGTGATGATGTGGTGTTGTGGTGTTGTGATGTTGTGGTGTTGTGATGTTGTAAGGTAAGAGTTGAAAGAGAAGAAAGGTGTTTGATACTGTCTTAAATAGACACTACGGCACTTGGGCCACCGTCACCTTTCCCTCCTGGCTTAGTACTCATTCTCTCAATTAGGAAGGAACGCAGCGCTGCCTATCGTTTCCTGGAATACGGCAAGCGCTACTCAATCATACCCACCACGAAAAGGGTCAATACCAAAAGTGTGAAAATGCATGCCTTTTTATTTAGCTATTCCCTAGGAATGACTACCATCCTCCAGTAACTTCATGTCCTGAACCAAAAACCACAGATGAGAGACCTTGAAGATACTAAGCCAAAGTGACATCCCAAGAAGAGCAAGTTCCCAAAAAGAAGGTAGGTCCATCACCAAAAATTGCGTAATTATGCATGCAAAAAAGAAGGAAACACCAACTACCTATCCATGACTACAACTATTAGTATTACCACCTTTCCATTTCCCAGAAATGCACCCGCCACAATTTTGTAAATCATCCTCTCCCTTCGCAGTCTTTGAAAGACATGCCAAGAAAAGATAACAGATGATCATCCCCCTTCCTACATCTCTACAACATAGCTAAAGCAGCAATGCCCGCGGCCAAGAGACTACCAGCTCTGATAGCCAATTGCTTGCCACTACTATTAGTGACTTGTGGAGGTGAGGCACCCGTGGAGGTTGGAGCAGAGCTGTTACCACCAGGGCTTGAGGTGGAGCTTGCACTAGCGGAAGGCGGAGGGGATGCATATGGAGTACCTGAAGGATGAAGGGCACCTGACGAGGAGAGCTTTGGTTGATTGACAGTTGACCAGAAGCTATCTGGAGGGGTCGATGCTGGGATAGAATGTCAGATTCACGTAGTTATTTGCGTATGGTTGCGGGGTAATATGGGTGAATGAGATGCACTTTGGAAACTTGGAACTCCCATCGCTTTGAGTGAAATGAGATACTTACTTGATTCATGAGAGTGCGATGCTGGCGCAGATGAAGCTGGCGCAGATGAAGCTGGCGCAGATGTAGGAGCAGGAGCAGATGTAGCAGGAGCAGATGTAGCAGGAGCAGATGAAGCAGGCGGAGAGGCGAGAACAGCCTTGCAAGCTTCGGCAGCGGCAGCTTGAACAGCTAAAGACCACTCAGTAAAATTCATCAAACACAATATCCTACAGTGAACTTACCAAGTGCTTGATCACCACATGCGGTGATAACGCAAGAGACAGTGGTAGGATCAGTAGCGATAGCCTGCTGGTTTGCAGGTTGACATTGGCAAACCAAGTCCGTAGCACTGCAAGAGGCCTTAGAAGCAACGGCGTCGGCGATGCATTTGGTAGCGCAAGATGGGATTTGGGCTGCAACTAGAGAAGCAAGACCTGAGAGGGTGAGGGCAAAGTATGTGCACTTCATCTTGAAGATTGAGAAGATGTTTGTAAGGAAGTAGTACTAAGCGAGTGTCGTTGATGACGAAACGAGGGTACGAAAAGGCAATGCGGAGACTCTGTTACGAGTTGGTAGTAGAAGAGTATGAGGTGTTGTACTCGAGTAAGTCAGGAAGGATCATTCAGGTGCCAACGAAGAGTATTTAATAACACGCCAAGATAGAAAACTACGCTAGCAACCAATGCGGCAACCACGGAAGTGGCTGGGTTTTTGGTGAACAGAATATACTCTAGGAAGCCACCTGAGGGCTGACGCAGCCCCTTGCCAGCCTCTCCGGCGAGTATGCAGAACCGGGCACTTATTGTTCTAAGCCCAGACGGTGAATATAATATTACCCCAGATTTCCAGGGATTGCTAAAAAGCCACCTTTAAACCAGTGAATTTGAGAAGGGGGTAGCTTAGGTAGACACTTCCAAGTTCTATGCTTAGTAGACTGGAAACAAAACGAGTGTTACAACCAAATATTCATTAGGCAATTATATGTGTATATAGTATTATATTCTGAAAAATAGTAAGATAGCGAAGGAAGAACTGTAAGAATAATAGCAATTAACACTAAAATAATAATGTCGTAGCTGGAAAACCACCCTCGACAATCTCAGAAGAATTTACTAGAAAAAGAGAAATTCAATTCACTAAGAGGCCAATATTAGAGGGTCCCCTCCTAACATCTTTAGTTGCTACAACCAGGGAACTAGTCTTCGAAAAGTGGGGTACAGCCTTTCTCCCTGGGCAAACCGCAGTGAATAGTAGACAACTAATAGATATTTTGTCCTATAGTAATTAACCTTCTAATGAAAGACGGCTCTAGAACACTAAGCATTGTAGGTGATGTACTTTCTACATTTTAGGACTACTAATGTAATTTATATTAGAGCCGGAGATATAAATAGTAGCTAACAAGATATTCCTAGATGAACATTTATTATCTTATAAGATACTAGTTTAAAATTAGAAGCTTGAATAGGGGATATGATCTCGATAATTTTTAATATAATATTAATTGAAAGTTTCAAAGGAAAATATAAGGACCCGCTAAGTCTCGCTTAAATTCCTCGGGGAGTATTGTTACTAATTTTCTTTTTGAATTGAATTGAATTCCCTCGTCGCTTATTAAATTAAGCTAGACTAACAAAAATCTCTAATAATAAAAATTGTAATAATGCCCGCAGTCAAAGTAAATTAAATTTTCGAATTTCTTTTTGCTAACGTTATATCAAGGTTCAAAGCACGGACATAATCACGTCCCAAAAAGCCCGAACTCAGCATCCCGCACTTTCAACTCTTCTTTTTCACCTCTACTCTCTGAATCTCCATAGTCCCAAACATTGATCGTGATTATATGTATACATGGGGCCCATATATCGGGCCAGGGGGCATTGGGATACGACGAGACTTTAGGTCGATGGGGTTGGTGGACTAGGCGGTCAGTGCAGATCTCTGATACAGTAAGGATTAGCGAGCTTCACACGGTGATACCATCCCTCGCAGGCACCATCGGCTCCTTCTAGGTTGGTGCTCCCATTGACAGGCTCGTGACAGGTTAGCAAGGGGCGACTGAAGGCTGTCGTGAGGCAGCAGTCTCGAAAATGAATCCTCAGGCAAATTCAGGCAACTACATCGTGGTTGCCTAAATCACGTGAGAGGGAGTCAGCTTCGCGTTTCTCGGAAAGGAAAACGTCAGGGCATCGCGTCCCTCCAATGATGCCATGGAGGAAACGGTTAAAAGAAGGCCAACTTCTCTTCTTCAACCGATCCTGACTTCAGTTTCTTCATGAGCCGAAGTCTCCTCGTTCTCGTCTTCATTTGAATCATTTCACCTCCTCATCTAGTCCAACTTCCTCCACGTCTCCCTTTCTCTGTGATCTCTAGAGTAACTTCATTCCCCGAAACCTCGACTTCAGGTCATTCCAGCCCAATATGGCCGCTTCCACTCCTCAGGAACCTGTCATATTCCACATTCCCAAGCTTCCGACCGAATCTGTGGGAGACTTCGTCCCGTATGTCTCGAAGCATCCAGACACCCCTCCAACACAACTACTCGAACCTTACAAAGCTTTTGAATCCGAGCTCCGAAAGATTTACGCTCAAGAACCGACTCATGAAGCTGTCTGCGCGCCCAATGTCAATCTCGTTCCCATCTTCAATGGGCATGAGAAGGAAATCACCGTCCGCGCTCGATCCTTGGAGACTGAGTCCGAAGAGGAGAAAGCACAGTTCATCATGCCACTCGACCACAAGGAGCGGAAGATGTCTGGCTCGCCCGCAGTAGTGACGAGCTTCAAGGAATTTCAGAAGAACTTCAATCTATTCTCCGAATCCTCTCTGATTGATCTCGACTGGGATAATGTGGTGGCCGCTGGAAGCTCCGTAACGACTTCTTTGCTCCCAGTTCCGGGGAAGTGGGCTGGCTCTAAGCGAAGTATGCGGGAATACTACCACGAAAACCTTGCACCAGCAAGCGACGTGGATCTTTTTCTGTATGGCATGAATGAAGAACAGGCTCTCGAGAAGATCAAGCAGATTGAACAGCGAGTCAAAGATAGCATTCTTCATGAGGTGACAACAATTCTCACCAAGAATGCAATCACTATCGCCAGTCAATATCCTACTCGCCATATTCAAATAGTTCTTCAATTGTATGACTCGGTCTCTCAGATCATTACAGGGTTCGATGTCGACTGTAAGTACCATTCCTATCATTTGTATGAACCTTATACAAGTGGCACAATTTGTCTACTTTCTAGACAAAATTAAACTATTGCGAATGGGCCAACTAACAGCTACCTAGGCGCATGTGTGGCATATGATGGAAAGCAAGTTTACGCCGCTCCCAGAGCCATAGCTGCTTTCATGACACAATGCAATACTATTGATCTCAGCCGTCGCTCGCCTTCCTATGAGAATCGACTTTCCAAGTACAGCCATCGAGGATTCGAGGTTCATTGGCCTCTTTTGGACCGAACCAGAATTGACCCAACCATCTTTGAGCGTTCTTTTGGCCGTACTCAAGGATTGGCTCGATTGTTGATCCTTGAGAAACTTCCCAAGGCTTCTGATCGGGATTCCTACATGGCACAACGACGTGAAGAGCGTGGGAGACCAGCTCTGAATCGTTGGCGCAATCAGTTCAACAATAGTGGTAATCTCAAGGAGCAAGCAGAGGATGAGGTGTCCGATTGGTACGCTGTTTCTTACTATCTTTTTCCCCTTGAAGCTTTTAGGGCAGTTAAATGCTTTGATATAAGTTTCACGAATACACGAATAACTGGCTATTTGCTACCCATTTTTGCCCACCACGAGACGCTCTGATTTCTCTCCCGATACCTTAAATCATGATTCAGTATGGTAATGCTAACTCCAAATCTTTTGCAGGATCTAACAACAAGATGTGTCTTCATATCATTCCATGACAGTTCCTTATGGTCCAAAGTATGGGGCTGCCCGAATTACCCGACTTCTATATGCAAAAGATTTGTTGCTCAATGCCGAGTGGAACCAATCAAGAGATAGAGAAGTTTATCTTCACAGACATCCCTGCTTCTTCACTGGCACCTCTTGCTCTGCAGAAGATATATTACAAGATTGTTGTGGTTATTGTCCTATTCCTCAGACTGATGAGGAAATTGAGGTCGCAGAGGAAGAGGGTAAAACCAATGTTTCCGGAGCCCTTCAATTCGTGAAAGACGACCCAGGACGTCAAGCAATCGGAAGCTTCAATCCAATTACCGACGATGAATGGACAACCATGGCTTACGTAGGGGATACTGCCCGACTTTGCCAGGCGATTGTGGATCATGATATAGAACATGTTCAAGATTGGCTTCAGCAAGAAGGTGTCGATGTAAGGTTCTTCTTGGTTGTTTGTTTTTCAACTTCCGCTAACAGTTCAGGTCAATCGAAGAGATTTTGTTGGTCACACGCCCCTCCATCTTGCTACCATGACATCAACTCCTGAAATCGTGCAGCCTTTGATAGATCATAATGCGAGAATTGTCGCAAGACTCCAAGACGGCAGAACAGCTTTGCATATCACAGCTTCTCAGGTAAATGCTGAAATGGTTAAAGCATTGATGGACAAGAGCTTAGAAAACGAGGTTGAGGAAGATGAAAAAAGAGAGGCACGTTTGGACGCAAAGAAGGCCGAGCGTAGAGCTTTACGACAGCTCAACGGTGATGAGGAATCCATTTCTACGTGGATATACTTATTATTCTCCCCCTGAGCCACCAAAGCCACAGCCTTATAAGCCATCTTTGTCTTTCCTCGTTCCAGATCTAAATACTTCGAAGAAGATTGGGTATAGTCGGCTTTTTGAAGCCGCTTGGGTCGGTGATCTGGACATGATTAAATCATTGACACCTCCACCATGGGCGTCAAAAGACGAGTCTGATATTTCTCCTCTTCAAATCGCAGTCCGAGACTTCAATGGCTTTAGCCCATTTTCAATTGCCGTGCTTCGGGGCCATTTCGACCTGGCCAGGAATATAGTATCTATTGCCTTGGCGCAATATCACAAAGACGACAACAAAGATCTTCGCCAGCGTTGGACCATGAATACAGATGACAGTGAGGATGAGGACTGCGACGACGAAAACGTTCTCCCAATATTCGCAGAGTTGATCAACGACAGATTTACCGTAGACAATCTCGGAGAAGTTTCAACTGTTGTCAAGAGTACAGTGTTGCCATCAGCGATGATGGAATGGCCTTGCAGAGCGGGAAGATTTGACGATTCTGAAGTCAAGGATTCGACCCACCAGCTTAGCCTTCTGCAGTATGTTGTTGTCTCTGATAACATGCAAATCCTGAAATTCATCATCGACCTTGGCGCTGAAGAACAAGCATTACTTGCAGAAGAACCTGATGATCAAAAATGCTATTCCATGGACACTTCGATATTCGAACTTGCCATTAAACTAGGTCGCACATCGATGATCGCAGAAATGATCGAGGCCACTGGCGTTGGAATTCCACTAACTAAATTTGTTCAAAACAGTGGCGTTGAAGCAAAGTCTAAGCCCAAATATTATCAGGGTCTCAGTGTGGGAGGCAAAAAACGTGCCGATTGGGCTGAAGCACCTCATAATCATTCTAGAGTCCAGGAGTACAACAATAACCCATTACTCGAGGCTGCTTCTCACAGAAGCCTTGAGTCTGTGGAGTGGTTCATGAGCGATGCACCTTTGTGACGATACAAGGAATTTGCGGCGAAGAACGAGAGTGACAAGAGAATCAAAACTCTTCGCGAATCCGAAAAGGGATTTGATCGTACTGTAGGAACATTTTTGAATGCCAAGAGTAAGTTCAATTCATTGAGATTCATATAGATGGGAAGCTGACAGGTTTAGGTGAACTTCTTTTACACTTTGCTGTGCTGTCGCGGTCAGACAATGAGGCTGGCCTAAATAGCAATGTCGAGAACGACGAGAAGCACATGGCTTTGATCAAACATATTTTTTCTGTTGCCCCCGAGACCCTCGAGCAAAAGTCTTCTAAGGGTTATACACCACTTCAGCTAGCTATCCTTACCAACCGCAACAAGGTCGCTTCTTACCTCATTTCTATTGGCGCAAATCAACGACATCGCGATCGATCAGGCCGAAATATGCTTCATAGTATGGTAGCAACCCTCCACCATCACAGAAAGAATGCCGCAGGCTTGCAGAATATGATAAGTCTCTTCAACGAGGAAGCTGTCGAAGAAATGCTTGTTGAGCGTACGTCGCAGCCAGAATCTGCCACACCTTTAGCATATTGGATGCTACACAACGGACAAAGCTTCATAAAGCCCGAAATTATCGCTGTGCTTGCCAAATACTCGTCGGGCGAGGATCTAACCATGATCAATTCCGAGGGCGACCTCCCACTTCACTTTGTAAGTCTTATTTGCCCTACTTGGGGTATACGATGAACTAACATGAACCAGGCAATCAAGAAAGGTCTCAGCAGCATCACCTCATTCCTCCTTTCCCAAAACTCAACACTGCTTTACCGCGAGAACTCCACCGGCCGCACGCCCCTCGAGATGTCCCGAGAAATCTACCACGCGTCATGTGTCAAAGACCCCATCTCCATATCCACCAGCCGTGCCGTTCGGACCTCACACCTAAATAGCACAATCCTTTCCCGCGCCCCTGCGACTTTCCTTCCGGATTCTAAGGAACCGGAACCAGAGGAAAGCAAAAAACGCACATTCGAAATATGTATGGAAATGGATGAGAAGATGGCTGCCGAGGGTGGTGATAGAAAGAGGAGACTCGTTAGCCTGAATGAGGCTAGCGAGGTTGCTAAGCGAGTTGGTTTGCGAAGTGGGGGTCGGCGATATGGCGGTTCTCAGGCGGTTATCAATGATGGCTTGATTGATGGGGAGGGAGCGGATGATGTGGTTAGTAGTAAGTTGATGAGTATGATGGGAGTTTATGAGGATTGGGTGGACTACTAGAATTGGTGTCGCTTGTTTGTATGAAGAGGGGGGAACGAGTTTCATTTGTTGTCTTTGTGTTTGCTACCTAGGAAGATTGAGGTATGAGAGCTGGGTCTGACTAGCTATATTCCGGTACTGCTTTCTGAAGAGATATCTTTGCTTTCACTGTAGCTAAATGAATATATACGACAAATGAGTATGATGAGTTTATCCTATTACACCTACAGTATACGAAGGTCTACAGGACTGGATGGGTGTTCACTTATCGAATTCTTTCTCCGCCAGGATGCCATAAACTGCTTGTAGTGAGGGACTAGAATTTCTTTGGCAGATCAATCTTCTACGGAAAATGGACAACGAAGGTAGGTAGTATTTCTCGTCTATGTAGTCACGTGATGTAAATAAGCGACTGTGCCCCTGGTTTCCTAGGTTAGGCTTGAGGCATGTGGGAGCGAAGATCAGCACTCCCCTTCTTCTCAACAACTATCTTCATCCTATCTTTACCACTGGATCCAAACCAAGATTAAGTCCAGCTCCCGTGAGACGTAAAACGAAATCCATATCAGTCCTCCAACTAGCAAAACTCCCCACGACAAATCGCCCGGAAATATTAGCTGTGGTAAGAATAGAGGCCGATTTATTTGATGATTCCTGTTTTCCCCGCATTATTACGACAGCTGAAAGCAGCAGCAGACAATAGCAGATAATGCCAGCAATCCCAGAATTATAGGGATAGGCAGCTTCGAGGAAAGCCTCACTGATACCTTTCAAGGGCTCGTGCTTATCGCATCACAAAGTCAAGGATATTGCAGCAGATATCGTTGGCATCCTTTGTGGTACAAAGATTGCCGTCGTCTGGACACTCGCCGTCAAAGTAGAAAACCCACAATGGGGGCCTCCCATCGACGTGCTCAAACAGCTCGTGCTACAGGTTCTTCGGCTAATTGTTTGCTTGCTGGAGGAACAATCCATGACTCTGCGTGCAACATGATTTCAAAGTGCCAAAACAGAGTTCGAATGATTTCAATTACTTGCTGCTGTTTTGAAGGGGAGCCCAGAGGTGCTTCTTGTAATTGATGCCGAGGTGCTCAATCGCAAATTCAGCAGTCATACCTGTTGGCCAAGATAGTTCATGTGAGTATTCGAAAATCCCCAGGCCGAAAAAGGAGAACTAATGTCAAAATTGTACTAGTCAGCTCTGGCAGTAGTCCGTATATCGAACCGACCTCTGACTTGGGGTTAGAAGACTTTACCAACAGAGTAGATCAAAAGAGGCCGGTATCTCCGACGTTGAGGAAAAGGCAAGATTCCGAGCCGCTGTTAGGGAAAAGGATCCGATGCGCTTAAGACTTTTGTAATACAGAGCCACGAGCAGCAATATATGCGTTCTCCAACGGAGGGAGGTGAGATGTGACGAGGTCTTCACTCCTCGCCAAACGGATAGTTGAATTTCAGAAGCCCATTCAAGCCTCCAACCCAACCATCATCATCCTCGGTTCCAGTCTTCGTACCTCTCATAACACAGGGAACACCACCGACCCACTCCATACCCTTTACGATATGTTCTCCATTAACTCGAATCTCCATACCTACACTGACGCCATGACTTCGTCTTCTACCATCAATACTGACTTCTAAGTCCCTCCCTCGATTTTTCTCGCTCAGCCGTAATGTGATTGGAGTGTTCGCGGGTAAGACCAAGGGTCTGAAAGACAGACTCCTTGGGCAGATTGGCGTCATCAGAAGACTACTGACAAGAGGATGAATGATACTTCCACCCGAACTTAGACTGTATGCTGTACTTCCAGTTGGCGTAGAAATGATCATGCCGTCAGCTACGGCTTCTGTTAAAAAACGACCACCAACAAATACTTCAATGATTGCCAGATGTGCTTCCTTTCCACGATGAATGATAACTTCATTCATGGCGTGAACATCTCCCACGAAACTCTCAGTTGGTTTGTCTCCCAAAACACGGTTGCCATGTGAATCATACACCCCGACCTTCAAGCGATTCCGTAGCAACACTTTCGAGCTTCTCGATGGCCCCATTGACTTGCCTCGCACACTTGACCAGCCAGTCACGACATCCCCGGATTCGAGACCACTCATCTGAACATGTGGGTGTTTTTGGTCCTGGAACAGCGGAGATCCTGCCCCTGCACCAGACATGTATACTTCCCGAAATGCGCGCTTGAACTCGGCGAATTTCCATTCCCCCAGAAAACCCAGAGTGCCCATACTAAAGGAAAGAATCGGTGGTACATGAAGAGTCGTGCTGAACAAGGAGGAAGCATGGAGAATGGTGCCATCCCCTCCAAGAGTGGTAGTCATATCAACCTTCCTCGCAAGATCATCAGATGTGCTGCTTGTATATATTGGGAAGGAGAAGTGTTTGTGCATCTGAGCAGCGACCTTGGGTTCGAAAATTAAAGAAACATTATCGTAATTTGAATGAATGTGTTTCGCATATTCAACAAGAGATTCGGTGACTTTTGGAGCGCCGATTTTCTTGATCAAGAGGATATTCCGAGGCGGCGATGGCCATTGTAAGGATAAGAGATCGCTCGACTTGCTGTCTGTAAAGGTTAATAGTCAGCAAATGGTCGTGCACCCCAGGGCGCTTGAGAGCATGCCTTGATACCGAGGAATGATCCTGTCCGGCAGATTTTCCACATCCAGAATCTCCCTCCTCGTCGTTGTGCTACTAAAGCTGCGGTTCCAGCTTCTTAGGCGCCTAGGCAGATTCCGCGGCAGCATTGCGAAGGGACGTTTGGTATTTGTGTTGAGGCTGGCAGAAAGAAGCTGAGGGCGATTAATTGCCCGGCGTGATACAATGCAGAACGGAAAGATCTCGACCTGTCATTATTAGTGATCCGCGACGTAAATGAAGCTATTCGCAGCAGGTTCTGGCTCGCTCATAGGGCTGAACAATGGTGTTGTTGATTCAAGCTTAATGTTGCCTCCCTTGTAGCTGTTTCTTTCCATCCCTCCAGCCAAGTCGGCGGCGGGGGAGGGGAACGCCATGGGTCCCTTATCGATAAGGCCAAGTTGTCCGAATCTGGCATTTTCAGAACAACCAATGGAACAAATTATGTCTTCCTCAAACCACTACCCCCCTCTTCAATACTTCTACACACCCGAGCAAACCCATCTAGGAATGGTTGCATATCGAGTTCTCTGCTGGTAGCTTGATCAAGTATCTTTGGAATCTCGAGTATCTTGTCGCAAGATTGCCGCCGCAGCCGAACCACGCGACCATCGACAAGAGGCACACGACTCTACCAATCATCCCAAGCGCATTCACGCTCGACCAGTTGCCTGCTGCGGAGAGACACATATAGACGGGCGACTACGAATAGACAGTTCGAAAGCCCTCGAACAAGCAAACCGTCATCATGGCGAACGAAACCGTGAGACAGAGGAAGCAACCGGAAACTAAGCCTCCACCCACCGAAGTCGAGGCCAGCATGACGGATGAACATCCAGGAGGAGATATCAAACACAACCCAGCAGTACAAATTCTCAGATTACTGGCGGTCTTGACGTACTTTCTTTCGGCGTGCACTTCGTATGTGCTCTCGTTTTCTGCCAATATAACCACTACTAACCTGACGCAGAATAGTCGCAACGCAGTTGCTGGGGGTACCGTTATATTGGATTAGTCGGGATTGGTACTATGCCTACATGGCCCAAACTAAACAGTCTTTTGGAATCGCGGTGACGACGTTGACGCAGTGGTGGGCTCCAACAGTTGTGAGAATTAGCGGGGATGCCTCTGTGGCCAACGAGATGCGCAAAACGGCGGATGGGAGAGTGGAATTAAATTTCCCAGAGAGAATAGTCATGATTGCGAACCATCAGGTACTTATGAAAGCGTCGTTGGTCAAGACACATGCTAATCTCTACAGATCTACTCTGATTGGTTATATTTATGGTGGGCCGGCTATACCAACAAACCCCACATGCACGGGCATATTTACATTATTCTTAAGGAATCCTTGAAGTATATACCGATTGTTGGATGGGGAATGCAGTTCTATGGCTTCGTTTTCATGTCAAGGAAGATGGAAAAGGACCAACCAAGACTTGCACATCGACTGAATGTTTTGAAACAAGTACACTCCGGGCCGATGTCAGGATCAACAGGTTTAGATCCGATGTGGCTTATGCTTTTTCCAGAAGGAACGAATCTCAGTAAAGATACTAGGAGTAGAAGTGCGAAATGGGCAGAGAAGACCGGGCTTAAGGATATGGTACACGTGCTTACTCCACGCAGCACCGGATCATTCTTTTGTCTAAATGAGCTGAAAGGGACAGTGGATTGTGTGTATGACTGTACATTGGCGTATGAGGGTGTACCGTAAGTTTGGTGCTCGTGATTATACCGATTCAAGCTAATATTGTATTCAGGAGAGGGCAATATGGCCAAGATTTATACACTCTACGATCAATGTATCTCCAAGGACGACCACCGCCATCAGTGAGCATGTACTGGCGCAAATTTGCCATGGCCGATATTCCGCTCGACAACTCTACCAAATTCGAACATTGGTTACGTGAAAGATGGCTGGAAAAGGACGATTTGCTGGAACAGCAACTAGTCACCGGGTATTTCCCAGCTAGCAAGTCTTCTTCCAACGGGGCTACCAAGAATGGAGCAACAGATGACGGGTTCATCGAAACCGAGGTGAAGCTAGCAAATTGGTGGGAGGTGGGAAAAATATACTTAGTCCTTGCCACTGCGGGCTTGGCCTCGCATTGGTTGGTGAGATGTTGGTTTCTATTATCAAAAGCTATTCTGGGACAGTAAGCGCGTGGTACTTTGGTTGTTGATACCCAGGGGAGAAAGGATTGTTTTTTTTCTTGCATTGCGCGGTTGGTTTACCTCATTAACTCGAAAGCACGAATCACGATTTTCTTTATATGGAAACATAGGTGCTTTTTCTTTGGTAGGTTGGCTGGGGGAGCTGTGTGGGCTCAGGATGGGTAGGTAGGTGGATATGTACATTTTCTTCCAGCCAGCAATAAAAACCTTTTCACCGTAATTGTTGAATCTTGTTGCAATGGATGGTCAACAAGGTAAGACTTACAACTCGCTAAAGAAAGGGGGGAACGTTTCGTTCCTTATGCTCTATCACGAAGTTACCATTGTAATTTTTTAATTTAATCTGTTTAGAAGCTTGAGTTGTTGAGAACATAATATATCAGACGGTATAACTATTCCTTGACGCTTTCGTTGTATACAAGGAGAAAAATGACCACACTTTCAATCATCCCCCCGCACTATTGACTTTGAAAAATCAAGATCAGATATGCTCCTTCCGCTCTCGTCTTGTAGGCAATTCTTCGTATCAAGCGGTCTTTGCTTTTGACAAGTCACAAGCCCTATGGTATAGTATACTTGGACAAGCGGAGTTTCTTCTTTGGTTCCTCAAAGCAGCTGTGTCAACCAACGTAATTCTACGGTATGGGAAGACCATTGCCACAAGTTCTATGTCCCAGTCTTCTTTCTGATGGTTTTGTTGTCTCTATCCCGATTTTTTGTGCTCCAGTGCATCACTTCAGACTCTGCGCGGGGATAGAAAACTCATTTAAGAGCGCCGAAGAGAATGCCAAAGTACATGTACTAGATCATACGGAAGAATTCCAGTTTCCTGGACTTTCGCCTCATGCTGGATGTAAGAGCATTATTTTTCTGTTTAGCTCTATTACAGTAATACCTCTCTCTAGATGTTAGTGTTTCGGCTGAGCGACTGTAGAACTATTACTATGTAGACTTTGACTCTCTCACCCCCAATGCCCCCATTACTGGATATCCCCCACTTCTTTTATTTTGTTTCTTTTAGCATGTGACAAACAAAAACACCCTCAACGACAGTGGGTACCGTGGAGCCAGCGGAGCATCATGCTATGTGGCGATGCTGCACCTGGCAAAAATTATTTTGGGGATCGAGAGTGCGAGGGATAGAGCAATTCTCTCGTCTCCTTCTCTCAAGACTGTTTGCACTGACGGCCAAATTCCTAGTGAGTTTGAGCGGACCAGGGAAGAAACGCCCTTAACTCGACCAGGGTAGAGCAGACTCAAACACTGTCAAAGCTTTTATTGACTCCCTCATTTCACTTAATTAGTCTTCCGCTTCATTCCACTATATATTGTTTTGCCAAGACTCTAGATTATCAAAAGCCTCACAAGGTTTACAAAATACTTTAACCTCGATGAGTCTTTATCGTATTTCTTTCAGAGGTAGAAAGCAGACGAAGTAGTACTGGTGTTTGTGAATAACAGTTCTCACATTTTGTCTGTGGGCTATTAAGGTTATTATAATATAGCTATTAGTCATGTTGTAACACACTTGCAAATCAGAGGATTAGTCATATTGCTACCTTGATTCATTTTAACCAACATCAAGAAAACAGAACAAGAAACAGCGCTCTTCTGGATAATAAAGCTTCAACATTTTGAGTATTTTTGAAAAGTAGAAAGGTGAATTATGGCGGTAATGGCACAATCACTTCCCTCCCCTTTCAGCTTGAATCTAACCTTCCCATGTTTTGAGAATCAAGTCAGGACCATGGTTTGAATAAAGTAGTCTCACAGTAAAAATTAGAGCTTGCTGTAAACATTTTCTTTCGCTACATTTCACTTCAACATTGAAAGGTAACTGCCAACATAGATGTTCTCCTACAGTTCTAATAGTAATTGAACCTATCTTCCTGCACGGTCTAACTCAACGACATCGATTTACCTTGAGTACTTGGAGTTCTTCTTCTAAATATACAGGTAGAAATGTAGAGCGACAGGCAAGCTAGTTATGACAATTCATATGTCCATTGGAAGAATGTTAAAAATAAACATCGCCTAATTCAGGGGTTGCATAAGTCACGTGTATATACACACCACGCCATCTGTCAGGCGTGCATGTTTCAGCGATTGGACGTGATTATGAATGAGGACATGTTACTTTCCGCAGCGACGCATTCATTGATACTAATGCGGCTAAATGAATTATTTGAAAAAACCTGAATAACAAATCAAATCTATTAGCATATCTTTTATGATAATTGTGAAGGCAAAGTGGATTCCATGTACACCTCAGTCACCAGGCACCATTTCCAATCCCTGCATCCGGATCCCCTGGCGCTAAGATGCCCAGCCACCTCACCCAGCCTCCGAGTCCACAACCTCCAACTCTGAATGACTGGACCAGGTGTATTCACAGAATCACTGCCACGTTCCAAGGTCGAAGGTGACCAAGTATCAGTACCAGCAGCATATTGAGAATGCTGCTTTCTCTCAGCACTTAAGTCAGGTTTGTACGCATTTCTTAACTTTCATCTTCATCTTCATCTTCCATCTCATTCCTAGAACCATGCCTTTTATCCCCAACACTCCCGAGTCTCTGCTTCTCCAATCCGACTCAAAAAACGGAGCAGATACATGCAGAGGCCTCACCTCCAACGGACAGCCATGCCGGAGGCCAATTTCCAAAAGCCCGCACTCATCGCCAGGTCCGAGTCCGCAACGAGGGCAGAGCTCTGAAGCATTTTGCTGGCAGCATCGAGAGCAGGCACAGGCACAGGCGTCCACTCACAATACACCTACGCCCTCGCCACAACGAAAACACAAAACGGTTAAAGAGCGAAACAGCGTGGACACATTGGTGGACAGGTTAGGGTTGCTTGAAGTCGAGCAGAATACAGGTCGAAAGCCACGTCAAAGTAGGACCCATCGACAGCACACCCACGCTGAAAAGCCCACCAATGAAGTGCCAGAGGCAACAAACCCGAACCCCACAAATGGGCCGCCACAGAAGGAGAGAAGCTCGCTTTTAGGTCTCTGCTGTTGCATTGGAGAAGGCGATGAAGCTGAGGTTTCTGTCAGGCCAGCAAAGAATGGCCGACGTCCCAGTAACACGGCCCAGATACCACCTCAGAAACCCTTGAAAGAGAAGGCGGATAGGCCTCACATCACTCGCGATCCATCTTCCAGGACAGGAGAGTTTGTGTCTCTGATTCCAGCAGCTACGCCACCTCAAACTGCAGCATTATTACTCGCTGAACTAGCAAAACCAATTTCCGAATCGGATACTACCGGCTACATTTACATGTTCTGGCTTACCCCCGAGTCTCTTCCTGCCGATGCTCCTTCGGAGACAGCGTCTCACTTGCTCGAACCTCCGTCGAGACCGGTCAATAGACAAAGACGAACGTCTGACGTCCTGAATACTTTTGCGGCCGCCACACCGGATACCTCGAGTAAGAAGACAATGCTTCTCAAGATTGGCAGAGCACAAAATGTGCAAAAGAGACTCAATGAATGGACGCGACAATGCGGATATAATGTTTCCCTGATTCGCTACTATCCTTATCATTCAAGTACACCCTCTGCGAATAACGCTGACCAACCACCAAAAACACCTCACAAGGTACCCAATGTCAACAAGGTGGAGCGGTTGATACACATCGAGATTGCAAGCAAGAGACTCAAAGGGGATGGTAAGTGTGCAGCATGCGGAAGGGAACATAGGGAGTGGTTTGAAGTTGATGCTAGCAGGGAAGGAGTCAAGGAAGTTGACGCAGTTATTCGGAGGTGGGTGGAATGGAGTGAACGGGAGGTTCAGAGATGAGTTACTAGAACTTACGTTACGAATTTTATCTTTTATGCAGTCAATGTCGTTGCCCGTCCAAAGCTTATGCATATGTGAAGTAAACAGGTCAGCGGGTCCGTATGTAACAAAAACCGGATTTCTCTATTATCACTGCCTGCTCGGGGCTGTTCCGAGCCATACACCAGTAGACAGCAAGCTTTCCCATTTGATGCTACATACCTTCTACCGCTAAAGCTCGACATAACAGAGTATGGCGTGTCAACACCGAATCATTACTGTAAGTGCCTCGGCCTTCAAAAATCGTCCAGAGCTTGAGTCATCTTCAACGTCTCGCCTTTCTTCGCCTGCCATACCCATCTACAGCCAAATTTCCCCGGCCATCCCTCCGGATACGACTTGACCCCCAAAAACTTATCCAACGCGTGAAGCACCCTTCGAAGCCAATCCGGCATCCACTGTGGCCCATGGAAACTCATGCATCCATCATAGGCCACGTCCCGAAAATTACGGAAGTTCTCGTCTGCATATGGATGTGAAAGATTTGTCTTGATATCACGAATCCTCGGATAGAACATGATGGATATCTGGATAAGTGATTGGATGCTGGATAGTAGATTGATGGTCCCGGGAAGTCCTTTGTAGACCCGTGGGAAGCTTGAGTCTTGGAGTTCGAGAGAGAGGTACTTTAGTGCGAGGGGGCGGCGGATAAATTGGATCTCTGGTGGGGGGATTCCGGGTGTTATCTGGGACATGTTTCTTTGAAGGGAGAATCTGTATTGTTATTAGGGCGCGGGGATGCTTTTGAACCGGAAAGATAATCATACTTACTGTAAGATCAACTTCTGAAGAGAGCGCCATGATTTTTGAGACAATGGGTCGTTCCCCCACCTGCATCCAAATAGGAAGTCCTGGTGTTCCGCTCGGTGTTCGAAATAGCTCCACCGGTCTCGTACTTCCAACACTTCGTGATATAGTTCTTGATCCCCTCTCAAGGCCACAATCAAGTTTCTAAGTTTGGGGTAATGGATCCTTGCTGTTAGTTCCAGATATGGATATGGAGGGTCGTCGATTGAATATCTATAAATCATAATCCTAATTTCTTGAGGCAAGCGACGCAGGAACGAGAGTGACTCCTCGATTTTACAATCACTGTATCTATTCTCGAAGTGCAAGCATTTCTGCATCGTCGTCTTGATAAGTCTGCAATAGATAGCTGTCGATTCAATGTATGTGCTCTGACTGACCAGCGCAGGACCCACGTTGCATCTTGCTACCATTACAAACTCTAATTCACAGCCATCTAGAAGTTGCGAGTCGGCCACTGCGGCTCGGCTAAGCTTGCAAGCGTGCATCGTACAGCCCTGAAGATAACTTCGACGGATATACCAAGTCGGGTTATACAGAAATCTACCTGTGCTGGCGAAGTAGGTTGATGCAAGTTCGATGGTGCTTCTGTGGAGTTCCGAATCCTTGACCAAAGCGTTTTCCAACAGACAGTTCGAGAATTCGCAGTTTTCAAAGAACCACTCTTCGTGTTTCTCCAGTTGGTGCCATGAGATGAGACTATCAGAGAATTCTGAATCGATGGCTTTGCAGTTTGTCACCAAGCAGCCGGTTAGGTGACAGTTACTTAGTTCGCACAATTCAAGTGTGCAATTGACGAATTTCGTATTGGACAAAGCGACGGATTCATTTGAGGATTGATACCAGAACCTTCTTTGCGGGATGTAACTTTGCGAGATGATACGTGGCGAGCTCGAAAGTGGCCCTCTTTTGTTCTGAGTGCGTGGCAGACTTGCTGGTTCATAAGGTTGTAGACTTCCGCCGTTGTTGAGTAACCACGTGAGTAACCACTTTTTGCCGTTACCATCGATGGAAGATTTTTTATGAAGTGGGGAGATATTTTTGCGAGAGCATTTAACAATGCCGCTGTAGCACTTCTTTTCGGCATACTTCAACTTATCTCTCTTCCGGAGTCGCTTTTCGTTGACGAAGAGGTTCTGGAGGCCCATCTTTGCGGCACTCGGTATTGGCAAGGTGGGCGCGGAAGAGGATGGAGGGAGGGTAGAACGAGTAGGTATAATTTATATCTTAACATCGGTTTGTAATAGTGAATGATTATTAGCTAGCTCCGAGCATAGCTGCTCCTTTGGGGCTAGCGTGTTCGGCTAGCGTACTACGGCATCTATAAGTACGCAGGGACTTAGCTAGCTACACTTGCTTTGGCATGCAACCAGAGACTTATTAGTTATTACCATAGTAATATAGGTCTTTTGCATCACCCACTTGATTGAATCAGTAAAACCAACACTTAGTGCTGAGGAAACCCTGACGTCCTCACGCCACGAAATACCTATAGTGGATGACCATTACCGCTATCGCGAACAATACCCTATGTGTTGCTATCATCTATTGATGTGGAAGCATATTTGCAGTGAACATCTCTCTTTGTTCTATCTTTGACTGCCATTCTTTCAAAGTTGTCAAGCTCCATTATCCCACAGTTCTGAGTTCATTCTAAAGCTTATGAATTAGAGCAACTACTTTAACTACTTCAAAACGTCGAAATATCAAACCCAAGACAAACTGTCGCTCTGACAACTCCATCAAAAAGCAGCATCACAAGCCCACTAATCTCATAACCTGCCCTCTGATCCATTTGAGATACAATCACCCCATAGGGAGCTGCACATTTGTAACATTGTTACTAATAGTAGAGTGGACCGATAAGTAGATCATACTTTCGGCGGGAAGTCCAAACGATATCTTCGTCAATATCACTCCCTCTTTGGCTCAAGAAGTTGTGGTCCTACAAGTGTCTCAAGCATCGGGTAGCGTTAACGAGGCGGCAAATGTGAGAATTAAGAGAACTGAATCTTGCATGTGCGTCTTCGGGGGTGAAGAAGAAGCCTCGAGTTTACAGTCTGGTTCGTTAGACAATGTAAGTATGTGTAATGAATGTAAGAATTCAAATCATTGATTGCCCTTTGTACACCTTGAAAGGATGTTAAGCTACAAGTAAGTGACTCAGAGCAACTCGATTCTGGCAATTTTCTAGATTATACTCTTGTTTATACTCTTGTTTTAAGCTCGGTACTATACCAACAGCGATGACCAAAGGTCTCCTGACATTCCACCCACCTATCTATCATACGTAGTTATTTTCATTTCCTGCAATAAGACAGGCATATTCCTCTGCTCAGCTCGCGACGCCCTAATTGCAAAGTCTATTGCTTTCGAATAGTTGTCCATTATTCCCAGTATGTCGCTACATCTCAGTGGTGCTGGCCTGAAGACGGCTGTTATGAAGTGCTTGAATTTGCCTTAGATTTCATCGCACGAACCATGATTTGTAAAATTTTAGCACAGAGAGCCGATCCTGCATGCGTTATCTCCTCTGTGGGAAACAGAAGCACTTTGATATCGACTCTGGTAATACTGCCGCGATCTGTGCCATGGCTTTGGAGAGCTGAGTTAAATATTCTTGGTGGTCGACTATAGCCTGTATGTAAGACTAACACATCATCATCAGATTAACGACTGTCCCGATCGTAGGGAAATCATACCGCGAGAATGAACTAAATTGTTCCATATCATGCGCCAATGCGCAACATTCCGCATGAGAGCTCGTAAAGGTGTTCATCGCTTTTTTCGTACAGTATTGCGTAAGCCCTGAGCGAGTTTTGGGAGCTGTCTCACAGCTTTGTTTTCAAGCATACTGTATTTGACGGGGTAACGTACGATGTCCTTGTGGTATTTACAGCCCTCTGGACCTCTTGGATATTCGACTCTTCTAGAATCAATGTATAGGCGCGCTCTGTGTCTCCATCTCTACCACTCTAAGACCAATGTCATGGTTCACACAGGAGTGTAAGATCTCCATTTAAAACATGACCAGTTTCCTTTCCGTGATTGTTTTCACGCCTCCGAAGCAACCTTAAATTTACGCATATGATCTGGGAGAACTAAGGAGAGAAGCAGATACCAGTGAAGTGGACCTCGGGCCGGTCGGTCTAGTATCATTAAGACCGGTGGGATAGATAGCGTTTCCTCGAGTCCCCAAAAAGTCTCCAGAAAAGACCACAAAACAAAAAAGGCCATCCATCCTTCAATCCTGTTATTTCAAGGAGAAGGGTATTCAGGCCTATAGAAAATCCCAGGGATAGGGGCAGGGAGTTTTAAAGGGAAAACATGCTTTAACGCTGATGTGTCGCGCTCCCACCAACCAACTACATTGGCTAATCCTGGCTGTGTGAGATGTCCTGATTTCCCTTATTTGTTTCTATAGAGGTTTATTGCGTGGTTTGTGGGTCATGTGAGGTGGCTGAGATATCCGCTGGAATAGGCATGGTCAGGCCCATGGTGTGTGGGTTTGTGGATTCACTCTTGTGGTTTATGTTTATGGTGGGTTTGGGTTGGCTTGTGGCCGCGTCTTGTGTTAAGATTGAGTTCTGTATATCTAGCATCTATGTTGATAAGTAATCTTCTAGTTTAAGCAAGGAAGGAACTAAACTTGCGTATCTTTCCCACTCTTACCATATGCTGTCCAAAAAGAGATTGAGTACTACAAGTGATGCACTTCTATTAGCTTGTTTTTTCCACAAATAAAGCCTATTCTCTAGGTTTCCTTTGGAGAAACTCGTGTAAGGCTAGTTTGGGGTACTTCATTTGAGTTTGAAGCTACGATTATAGCGTTTGTAAGGCGTATATTATTCTTCAAGGGCATGGACACAAGGAAGATTAACTGTTTCGAGAGTGATATGTTGATTTGGTTATTTAATGTTTTCAGTATTATTAGGTCATGATGGCTATGGTATCAGTAGCACATAAGAAAATCCACATTGTGTATGCTGAATTGCTTCCTCTTTTGTAAACATCTCGGTTAACAGTTGTTTTACAACCGGCCTATTTCTTCGTAAATTTTATTTTTATCATATAACCTTTGCAGTAGTCGAACTTTAAACTATTATGGCCTTGATAGACTTTCTATCAAGTCCATATTGCAACCAATTCACGTCTTTTCAATAGCCACTATTTAAGTAACGAGGCAATCTTCACTCAGGGGGAACCCTCTTCTAAGCGAACATCCTTACTCGTAATGGATTATGTAATATCATGTCGAAGTTCATTGTTTCAGCAAACTCCCTGCTTTTTCAGCATTTCATGGCAAGCTGCTGATGAGCATGATCCAAAATAGCGAGTTCACCGTTTTTACAGTAGGAAACCCAGCTCCACCTCTCCATTAGTTCCAAGTATCTCCACAAGCAGCCTACACCGTTTGTTTGTTATTACAGTCACATGGGTCTATACATGCAGCGACTCAGAGGCAAGATCATCAAGGATAATCTGTGTTATAGAGCTTATAGAAAGAGATATAGCCGATTGCTTTCTTGACCAAAGGGCACATGGAGAGATGCTCAGATAACAGGTAATATGTTTTATATTTGACTCGCATTCTTCTCGAAGCGAATATCATTAAGTGGCTACTGTTCGTTTATTATTTGAACATTAAAATAATGAGCGGGCCTTCATTCTTCATCTATCCTTCCTTTGCTCCAACTTTCCCGTCGTCAATCAGCCTTAGCTGGACCCAATTAATCTTCCGTTGCGCCATTCTGACACGCCCGGAAAGAAGAGCTGCTTAGGCAAGCTTTCTCAGTTGCCTGGCGAATGAAGCCGAGTCATACGGGCTCGAGAATGAGTACTTTGGCGACAACGAGATAATAGCACCTACCAAATCCTCTATCACCACCGGCGAAGCATATAAGACGGGTTGGTTCCAAGTCCGGCCAATACTTATTTGCAACGATGGTGACTCATTGAGATCGCGACTCGGTGAGAGTGAAATGTTGGAGGAGTAGGGCAAATATAGAGTTTATGTCGGAGGATCTCGGGGTATATGTGTTTTGGATTCCGGTTGCGACATGAGACAGCCAATTGGTCCATAGAAAAGGTTGTTCCCCGTCGCCTTATCATTCCCACCTTTTTCTTCGCCCCAATTTTCCAGTGCCTGATCTTCCGCTCGGTCTTTTCCTTCGACTTTTCGCCCAATTATCCACCGTCAGATCCCCACTTTCGTGCTTGTTCGAGACCGTTCCAAGAATTTTCTCGGCTCACTTGCCTTGCACCGGCCTTAATAGACCCCTCACTCTCTCCACACTTAACAGCACATCTGCTGGTAGCCTCAGGATCTCGTTCAAGAACACTTCTTTGTTTCTGACACATGTCTGGATGCTCTCGCCCTCCCCCATTTCTGCATGGTATTCTGGCAAGGTGTTGGATTCAGATTTTACTCCGTCTTCCAAGACATCGCTCACCCTCAGCAGAGCGGAGGTTGGGGCGTATAACTCCCAGCCAAAAACTTGGTTGCCTCCTTCATCTTCGAGGAGGACTTCGAAATGTGAATCTGTGGTTCCGGAGCTCATGATACTGCCGTGGGAGCAAGCGAGGAAGAGAAGGTGTTTTTCGCAAAGCTGCGTGAGTTTTGGGTCGGAGGAGTGATTATATAGAATGGTGGTACAGATTTCCGATTCGGTCGAAAGTGGGAGCTCGCCATAAATTTGACGTGTCGAGTTTTCGTAAGAAGACGAGTCTTCGTTTCCATTAAGTTTTTGTTGGAGAATATTATTAATGTCGAGAATGGCGGTTTGGAGTTCCGCCGGTGTCTCTGGATGGGGTTTTGTGCTAAGGTAATTATCGAGGGTTGTACTGAGCGGGGAATGCTCCAGATATGAATCTGATTCTGTAGATGAGGATGAAGATGGCGAGGATGCCGACGAAGAAGAGGAGGAAGAGTCGTATTCAAGATCATACGGGTCGTATGAGTCGCTCTGTCGTCTTTGGTGAAATTCCGTTAGACTTGGTGGTTGGTAAGAGTTGGGTGAGAATGGGCGGTATGAGTATTTCGTCCGATTATGTGAAGGGTTGTCGTAACCTCGAGATGAACCGGTCGACGAGGTGGAACAGTATGATGAATCTGAGGAGTCAGAATCATATTCGTACAATTCTTCTTGACCCTCCCAACGCTCCTGAAAACTGTCCATTCTCGACATTTCGTGTTGTTGTTGTTGTTCCACAAAGATTCTGGGGACTCGCGAGAGTTGAGGTGGATAATATAAACGGATCTTGGTCGTAAACAGATTGCCCCACGGTGACTTCTGAAGCTTAAGCTTAATTATTATTCCCTTCGTAAAATTTCTGGCACTCACAGAGCAGCTTGTGGAAATATTTGTGGAAGAGGTCTTCTCTTATGTACTGATAACCCGAAGTAATGCAAGATCAAGCCCAGGCTCCGACCGAGTTGCCAAAAATAGCGAGGTCCAGTCTCCGTGGATCGAAACAGAAGCAACTTCACCATTTTCCGCACTGGTACCGGTAAACCAGCCATCCACACACCCTCAAACGGGTTTTATGCATGCACGAAACCCCACTTCGAATGCTACCCTTTTCACATGTGATGAGAATTGGCATTGAGACACGGCGTTTGGATGCTGAATCAATTTGCATGCCACGATGCGGTTTACGGTCGTCGTTTAAGCAGATTACCGATTTTTGCCAAGCTGCCTTGGTGGTGCTCGGATGGGGTCCTGCAGTGTGCTTTTAGGGTTGTGGGCGGCTACTACCGTAATTTGTAATTTGTTGGGGTATTTTAGGCTGAAGGAGAAATGCAGAGGGGGTGCTAACTTCTTGGAGCCTGGGTCTAATTATGGAAACTTGGGTACAAGATGCGTTGTTACTTTGTATTAACTGACGATAATGAAAGGTGTGAAGTAGATTTACTCATCTATTTTGTAGTAGGAGGAAGCCCTGGATGGTGGGATGAATATGAAGTTTTCATTTCATTTTGTTTTTGGAATTTGGTTGCGTTGGCTAGAAGAGTAGTACATGCATGGAAGCACCGAGCTTCATTGTTCTAGTGACAAAGATGTCAGGTACTCCGTACTTGTGGTTGTTGGTGTTTCAGGAAAGTCTTCTAGAACTTCTGGAATTCTCAAGAATCGCAATAGTTGGATAGGAAAGGAAAGGAGGCTTTTAAGGAATCTACTGTTGTGTTAGTAATCTAATACATTCTTCTCTTTCTGACAACTTTTTAAAATTGGACAATTGCTACAAACCAACTTACTTCTTGACAGGGCTCAATTCCTCAATTCCCAAAAAGTTTACTTGCAGGGTTGTTCCGCGCGCTTTTCAAAACACTGGACCAATTGCGTCTCTTCAGATATTGCTTTGTAAGTTGAACTGCGAGTTCGAAACTGCTACTACTCGTGTATTACTCGTAGTTCACGCTCTGCATAACATGCAGCCTCAAGTCATTTACTGAAAACATCAGGAAGTGTGACTTTACCTAGGAAAAGTGAGGTGTAAAACACGAACTGGCCTCAAACCAGAGCTCTCTTCACAGATCGATTACAGAACTGGAACGATAATGACATTTTACTAGTATGGTTTCAAACCTTCAAGTTGCACATTCTCAAGCAAGCGTTTCAATAATGGAAAGCCCTCACAATAGTTGATCAGATCGCCAGACAATTCATCCTTTTTCATCTGATATCCTTTCAGATCGTAAATTACAGTACTCGTGTTTCTCATAGATTGGCATCTCTTGGCCTAACACGTCTGGTGGCAGAGCATTGTGCATTAATGGAGAACGCGAGTAGTAGACCGAGACCAATGATCGAGGAGGGTTGTAAATTTGATGAACAGTATATCAACAATGTGAAACTTTTTTTTGCAAAAGTCAATCCTCTGTCAAAAAGTCGGGGTGTTTATTTTTATTTTTAAGCTCCTCTTTTAGACGAAGATTTCTTGAATTTATCGCATCGTAAAGTTCGGCCATATCGGGTAAGAGAGCACGCGGGAGAGCCGTGGTAAAGAATACCTACCGTACGGTAACAGCGTCCTTTTTCTTTCCTCATTAGGAATTGAAAGAAACGTTCATCAAAATAGCTAGGAAAATCAATAAAGTAAAATATCGAGCATGAATTGTCACGATAATTGACAGCATTTGTTGATTGCTCTGGGGCCGTCTTATTCTCGCGAGAACGTGGTCACTATTCTCGGATTTGGAGACCGGCCAATCAGAACGTTGGAGCCCCTTAACCCTAGCGAGCCAATAAAGATTTTCACCAGGGGCTGCGGAGATTTGTGACGGTATGCTTTACGATTAGGACTTTGACTGTACCGTAGAGCACGAATACGTCCGTACTTCCATTGTTCAAGTCTTTGGTGGTGATCGGTATACATTTGGGTTTTGGCCGAGAAGTTAGAGTCAAATGGGAGTTTTCCGACTTCAACTCAATTCTGCATCTCCTTGCACTCCGGTCGTAACCACTGACCAGGAATCCCCATATGAATACCAGAAGAGCAACCAATACGGTAATGCTGTCTCAAGGTGAAGGTGTCGAACGACCTGTAGGAGAATTCCCCTCGTATTCAATAATAATGCATAATGTATCGTAGTAATAATTAACCAATTCACTTCTCAATTTCTGCGTCAAAATCTTTGCAATCCCGAGGGTTCGTTTGGCAAGTTCTTGGACCTCACTTAATCTGGAACGTCTGGGTACAAAATCCCCAAAGTTTAAATCGCAATAAATTAATGTACGTCACAAAAGGACAAAACAGCCCTGTGACGATCCCCAAAAGTTCCGACCGTACCGACGTCAAAAAATCCGAAGTGAAGTTCACGTTTGAGCACACTTGAGACATTGTGGTACAGTGTTGAGATGATGTGTTGAATAGATGAAATATACGGGAAAAGAAAGACTGTAGGAACCAGTGGTACAGTAAGGAGAACTAAGCAGTACGGCCAAGAAGCAGACTTTTCAACCGAACTCCCTCATGTCTGTTTCAAGTGGCGAAATTGAGGACCGAAGGATTGTTTTGTTGTGGTGTAAGATACTTATATTCTTCTGGTATAGCCCATGCATTGTTGCTGGCAGCCATCAAGTCGGCTTGCACAGGGGTATCAAGATGATGATACAAAAAGTTGTCTGGTGGATCGAGTGACATCGCGGAGTCTTGAGTGGCTCGATCGAAGTTCGCAGGAAAGGTGACGAAAAGGTCAGAATTCAGGTCACAAAAGCCCCCAATTGCCTCGAAATTTTGCGAAGAGCCAACCGCTGTGTTACTTACTGTTAGCAACGCAAAGAATCATCGACACTTTCGCAGCTTACAGTAGTATGGAGCTCCGCTGTCAATCTGCTCGTCATTTGGTAACATTGGATCACTCATATCGTCGCCAACAAAATCATGCTCTGGACCTGTCATATTGAAGAACGTATCCAGGTTCTCCACAGAAATGACTGCAATGGTATTAGAGAATATTTTGAGCCCGAGGGTATAAAGTTGTTACCTTTAGTCTGCAGCAGCCTTTTGAGTCCCTGATTTTCATCGTCTTTCAATTTAGCGGCAACTATGATCATCTATCAGGCACTGGGTCACTTATTGGCGCGCGAAATACTTACTATTTTGATATTCGGCCGTGTGTTCCTCTTGAGCATGTTTTATCAACCGACCAATCCTCTTTTCGGGTGGGTGATCACAGCCTGATGAAGGGCAACTTTTCTTGGGTAGGTGCTGCTCCTTCAGATGCCGTTCATAGTCTGAATTTCTGGAAAAGGAAGTAGATTGTTTACAGCAAAATTCGCAAGTACGGTCGTTACGGTTTCGGTTGCTTCGTGGCATCGTTCGATTGACAATAAACCTGTGTGAGATATCGAAGAAGTGCGAAAGGGCTACATATAAATTGGAGGGAGCACTGGTTTGACTGAATGTGCTGGAGATGCCACCGAACGGGTAGCTGCTTCAACTTGCAGGCCATATTGCTGTATAGGATATAATTGATGACAAGAAAGGCATTGGTCGAGGGATATAACAGGAGGAATGAGAATGTTCGTCAGATAATTGTCACAGAGCAGCAAACGACAATACATATGATATCAAAAGGACGATGAGTTGGAAATCATGTCGCATGGTGAAGAGCCAAGATGGGAGTCGCGATGTCTGGAACTTCGAACGTATTGTGAGTGATCCCTGCCTATTTAACATACTCGACTCCAGTCTTATCTGTGGGATGCCGCGACTACGCGCAGAGACACAGATTACCTCCTGAAGCTGAGCGAGATGCTCAGAGGTACGTGAACATATAATTCTCCAGTTGTGCCAAGAATCTCTGTTGGATGGGCAATGTATGTCCATTGTGAAGATGGGATATCACTCCATTCTTTCTCCTATTGATCTATCTTTACAAAAAGACAGAAATTATCAGAGGTCTTGAGAGGCTCCAGATGTTACAGAAAAGGAAACTTGCACACGGCTGTCAGCTTTCGATGGAATGATTTGTTCAGACAATGGATCGTGCAGATCACACGCCGCCCAAATCCAGTTCATACCTGGAACTATGCGAGCTATCACCCCAAGCCGGGCGTGAATGAGAGCCTTCGAAAGACCAAGTGTGACTGACAAGAGAAGATGAATTCCCGGTAAGCATGCATGTATCCAAATTAACAGAAGTCGATGGCGATGCGTTCTGCTGCTTCCATCGCTTGAACCCCCCGGAAATCCGGCATCCTTGTGGGCCAGGGTGTAGCTCTATCTCAGGCCCGCAAGCGGCAGAAGATGGTCAATTTGAATGATACCATTTCCATCGATCCTGACCTCAACTAGAGAGGACGTCAGGCTGAGACGCCCAAAGACAATCAGGAAGGTTGGCCCAGAGCCTTTCGCTTGGTCCCTATCGCGAGGATGTGAACTTGGGTCGAGACCAGCGACGACAAGGTTCACGACTCATCCAAGGACGAGACGGCATCGAGCCTATGCCATCGCGATTTCATCGACCGGTGACTGGCGCCATCATAAGCCGTACAAGGACGAGGCCCACGTCAAGATTACTGTGAAATGATTCTGCAGGGAAAAAGACAACGCCAGCCTCTGCGATAAGATCACATCTGCTTAACACCAGCTAATTCTTTGGAGATCATAGAACTATCAAATCCAGATAACAGCCGACACGACGCCCTCAATATCTGCCAACTATACAGAAAGCATCGCTTAACAGGAAGGATGCGCATCAGCCTGGGCCATTCTCCGAAACAGTTTCTCTTCAACGAGTTCGCCTCCCAGTCAATTGCGCGAAATAAAAGCATTCAAAAGCATGGGGCCAAATCGACACCGAAGTTTCGTCCATCAAAGCCAACTTGATACAAATGGGCGAAGAGGAGGTGGGAATTGAGCATAATAATTTCGGAAGAGGGACCCGCAACTGGCAGTAGGAAACAAAAGGGCACACAAGACAGTTGGATCTGGGCCCAACTCAAACTAGTAGTTCTAGCTCGAGTTTGAACTACAAAGTCCTGCTCTGCTGAGCCCTCTGCTCTACTGCGTTACATGGTTCTCGCCATATACCAGCTCCAGGCAACAAAGAGCATATCTGAATCAAACTGCTCCAATTTCTTCTCGCAAAGAATGACGGGCCAAAATCAGCAGAAAGTTCTCAAGATTGAGAAATCGCCATTTTGCTTTCATTTGCTTGTTTTTCGCGTTGCTCTTTCTCGATACTGCTTCGCTTTTGCGCAGAAATGGACTTTGCTCGACACGAGACTTCTCGCGATTGATGAGAAAAAACAAAGTGGAAATAAGACTGGCACAATGCATGTGGAAGACATGTACATCGAGAGAGAGAGAGAGAGTTGTCAAGTGCGGTCGAGTAAGGGCACGTGATCGTAAGTTTGTTTGCATACGCTACGTTGTGGGATCCCGTCTTGCATATATACTGCGGGCCTTGAACGATGGAAATTTCAGAATTGGCGCCTGGTATGTGTTTACGGCTTGAGTATACATATTCGCTGCATTGGTGGCTGACAAAATGAGCTGGAAATTCCCGAACATCGAATTCCCAAATTATCGGAACGCACCATCTCTTGGAAAAGCAGGCTCCTGTGTTATACTCAGAAATTAAAAGAGATCACCAGTTATTACTATGTCCTCATGCGTCATTTTTTCCTCAGGCTCAAATTCAAAGAGTTCTTGAGAAGTTGAGCGGAGATGTCATCATTCGGGATTAAGTCGAGTTCGATTTCATTACAGGATAGTAACCACTGAAGTAGTCTGCTAAGAACAATATCGTTTAAAAAACTTATACCACATGATGATCAAGGTCACAAAATCAAGCGACTTACTTTTCCAAGGCTGTTATCCCGTCCAGGTTCTAACTGTAGTCTATCAACATTGTCACGTGCCGACTAGCAGTTGGAAATGCGGAAGATCATTGTTAACTTCATAGCTAAATCAGTATGTTATGGAGAGGCCTTCTGGTAAAAAATGAGAGTGCCAGTAGTCGTTTTTGCCTACCCATGCTTACGAGCATCAGGCAAGCTCGAACACCTAGTCGGTACCCTCCTGGACTGCGGGGAAGACGTTCTCAAGTGTGTCAATATGTCCTGTGATGTTGTCGATAAGGTGATCAAAAGCCTTCTTCTCATACAGAGCCCATTTTGTATTGTACAAAAGCCACTTTTGAGGTAACTTCTCTTCCGGTGGGCGACAATGTTTGTTGTCGAAACGTGAAGAAGGCGGTAGTCGTTGCGAAGTTCCTTTTCGGGGTCAAGAGCTTGCAGAAATTGATTGGAATTTTCTGTTATGGCGTTTCTCTCGGTTTTCGTTCTGAATCCCTCGGATTTCTTATAGTAATAAGCCTTAATACTTTAGCCCTTTGCTTTATCCTTCCCTTCTTTATCGTTGAGCCATGTCTTTATTGCAGCCCAAGCTTGCTGTCCTCTGAACCAAATTCCAACAGCTGCCACAATAATGCCCAAGATATTTAGCACGCTAATAATGAATAGTAAGTATTTTAGCGATATTAAAAAGTTAGTAGTTATACTTACTTCTTTCGTAGGAATTTCATACACTCGTCCCAAGAAATCCGCATCCTGTATTGTTATTAGCCGACCAACCCCTTAACAAGAATAACATAATAATCAGGAGTGAATTACTTACGGTTTAAGCTGACGTTCGAGCTTTTTTCTTTTCATTCTCGCACTGAAAGGCCGCTAATTAGTGTATGCGTATGATTTTCTTCTCGACCTAGCTTACATTGCGTGCATGTTGTCTTCGCTTCAAAGTATTAGTACGTAAACTCGTGAACTGGATAAGAAATACTTCCTACTCTCTGTCTGCCGTTTTCCTTTATCGTAAGGTTAGCTTAGTGCAGAGCACGGAAAGTTACGGATGCTAACCATGCTATATCTCTGGCTACTTTCCTTCATCACCTATTAGACTCCTCTACTAATGTTTGCACAAACACAATGATTGACCTACAATCGAGATACTTCAAGTGTCCTTCGTTATCAAATAATCTTAGTTCTGTGTCAAGTACAGATAGCTGGCGGTATTACCAACAACTTTCTCACTTCGGCAGTTCTGAGAACCTGTTAGCGACATGAGAACGTATCATTAAGCAGTATCACTAACTTCGCATCAACTTCACGTTGTCTGTGAAGATTAGCATCGTTTTGTATATTTAATATCGGCTTATTATACTCACAGTTCGAAATTCTCGATTTGGCTGCAGGAGATATTAGATAAAGTCATGGAAGGTTTAATCAGTCATACTAACAGTTTTATCGCCGTCTCGAGCGGCTCGGGTTCAGTACTTAAAGAGAATTAGTACTCTAAATAAGACGGCAAAATAAACAATGGTATAATCGTTCTTACTCTTCATCTGACGAGAAATACTCGCTTTCCGAATCATTTCTAACAAACTTGTTAGCATATATAATGGTTATTTTCCGAATTTGCAAAAGTAGAGATGTAATACTTTCGTCGGATTCTTTGCCTGGTTCTCGTTGCTGGTCTATATCCCATTAGAACATAATTGTATAATAATAATTCTATAGGCTTAACCTACGTCTTGAGAGGGGCAGGGCGCTCCGCAGGCATTTTGGATGGAATTTCTAGGCAAACCATTAGTCACAGTTCTAAACACATTGATCGTTTTCCCGAGGAGGTTTTGCGAGGTCTCTCACATCCTGTCGCTTCTCGAGAAGAGCAATTTTAATGTCCAGCAAGTAGGCCCACTCGTTATAGAGTTTGAGCACTTAATATAAGGTATTTCGGAAACAACGGAAAGGATGGGATTACATACTGTAATTGAATGTTGCCTGGTGAGGAGGAAATTTCTTTGGAGGAAAAGAAATCCAGACTTATATCAGAAGTGGCTCGCTCAGGAAGGCACGATGAAGCCCCCTACAACCGCAACCTTCAAATCACTAGAAAACAACATTACAGGGAGACCCTACACTTTCCACTCTCTGTGATTGTCTCTGCCTATAATTTACTGAAAACCTAATATGGTAACTGTCGCGATATATACGCTGTGGAGCTAGAATCAGACTGCTGCTGCCTGCCTGTTTGATCGCGACCGCAATTCACTTATCCAAGCAGCACAACATGGGCAGGCACATCAGCTTGAGATGCTTTTGAGGACTGGTGCCAATGTTGAAGCTACGAAAAAACGCGGACAGACTGCATTGATAGTAGCATGTTCCTGTGGCTTTGACAAAGTTGCTACCATCTTGATCAAAAACGGTGCCAATATAGAAGCTGCGGATTCTCATGGACATACAGCATTAGGGGGAGCATGTGGGTATGGCTTTGACGAAATTGCTACCATCTTAATCAAAAACAGTGCCAACGTTGAAGCAACTGATTGGTATTGACAGACTTCGTTAATGAAAGCAGCAAACGAAGGTCACAATAAGGCTCTCAAGGTCTTGTTAGAGCATGGGGCAGATGTTGATACAAGAGATGGCGGAGGCAATACGGCGCTCCATGATGCATCACACGGTGACCACTTTGAAGCTCTCAGGTTCTTGTTAGAGCATGGGGCAGAGTTCGACGTAAGGGATGAAGATGGCAATACGGCGCTCGTCTTTGCAGCATCATGCCTCAATGTGGAAGGTGCAGAAATACTGATAGCGGCGGGAGCAGACCGAAAAGCGGTAGATCTATCAGATCTATCAGAGTTCGGAAAGAAAGTTGATTCGACTCGGGAGGACCGAGAGAAAAGACAAATCATAGTTGAGATATTACAAGGCATTACCAACACCGCAGCACCAGAGTAATTTTGTACAGTATCATAGCAAAGCAAACCGTTTTTAATGGCCCCTCAAATCTATTCTCTTTCTTCTATCTACAACCATAAAACTCTCCCCATATCAATATCACCATTTCACCATTCCCACGTCCCTTAATCGACTAATAACTCATTTCCCACCCGAAAAGCTGACAACAGCCCACTTCCCACTCCAAGCCCACATCCTCTTCCCACTATCCCCTCCACCTTCTTCCAAGGCTCTCAACTTCTCATCTTCCCCATCCTTCAAGCCTACCACCACATCCGCCTTACAAGTTCTCAAAGCCAGAACATTGACCCCTGAGTCAGGTCCCAGAGGACCAATGGCTTTTGTGAAAGGAGTTGTTGGATCCCAAGCGGCCTGATTATTGTTAGCAAAAGCGAAGCAAGGGATGGAAAATAAAACATGGAATTGGAGACAGAGAGAGCGAAGAAGTGAGAGACTTACATCACAAGTCAATTTTCGGTAATTCAAATCGCCCTTGAAGATTACTAGTTCACTTTCTTTCAGGTCTTCGTGAAGACGTTTATCAGAAGTAGGCAGTCGCCAGAAACTCCCCCCTTCAGTCCAAAATCTATTGGAACGAAGCATCAACTGTCCTTCCGCATGGAACGCACTCCAATTCTGGAACAAGAATGATAATTCTCCGACTTCCTGCTCATTCAAGGAAGTTGGAGTAATACCCTTATTCGTCTCCTCATCCGAAGGCGTACTATAAAAAGGCTGAGGATTTGCAAGCGCATTCAACAAAGCCGCAAAATCCCCCGGCAAGACATCAGACACAAACCAAGGAATCGACTTGGGGTGTAAAATAATATTCGTCGCAAGACCTGCCGAGAGGAGAAATCCGGCAAGGATAAGATCAACGTAAAGTTCGAACCCAGCGTTGTCGAGAACAATATCTACCTGTCTATGCTTCTTCCCTTCTCTCTTCGCTTTCTTCAAAAGATCATATGCCATTTCCAGGTCATTGACCAAGATATTTGCCTCGGAAGCCTTTCTAGCCTCGGAACCTTGCAGTTTTTGGATGTCTTCGTAGGTCAGGGATGTAAGTAGTGAGAGATCCGTCGCGTTTCCCCACAGGCAAATCTCGCACATTTCCATGAAGAGGATTTTCTCCGCCGCATCGAGTTCTTGTTCTGATTTGTTTGTTTTGTCGGACATTTGTTGGAGGAGGGTGTGGTAGCGAGCTGCGAGTTCGAGGACTGCAGGACGGGAGGAGCGGAAGGTTGCGAGTTTTTGGCGGGCGAAAATATCGTAGTTTTTCCAGTGGGTGGAGAGGGAGAAGGATGTTGCTACACGTCTAACTTGGGTTGCTTAGCTTTGCTCCACCTCTTTCCATTCGTTTTTGGTGTTGGACAGGGGAAATCATACCTGTACAGATAGCACTCTGCATAAAGCCATGGAACACTGAACCATGAGGGCTCTCCCCGGCTTTCAAGCTCCTTATTATAACCCTCGATATCTCGTTTTCCATCATCTGGCAAAGACCTATATCTATCAGCCACGTCCGCAACCCAAACATGTATAGGAACCCTACGTCAACTTGCGATCATGCTGCAATTCATATTTGAGCTTCGCCAGTTCCTCGATAATCTTCTTGCCCTCCCCCCTTTTCGCATCGTCTGTTGTCTCCGAAACCGCTCTATGCACATCATCGATGGCACCCGTCTATCCCGATAATCAGCTTCTTCTCTGACGAACATAATTTCGAAAAGGATTCTCTACCAATATGACAGGCCATCGGTCTCTCGCGGAGACGTATGCAAAGGAAGTCTTGTCCGAAGTCAGGTACTGAGCTGTAGTGGAGAAGTTAGATTTCATTCTTCTACCCCGCCATTGCTCGCTGGAAAGCTTACGGGTGGTACTATCGTGTTCCATATTGACGTCGTTCTGGAGGGCTGTACTTTATTACAGTAAAAAAAAAATCTCTAGAAAAAGAAAGAAATGTCTTAAAGAGGACGATATGTTGCTGTGAGGAAGGTTTCTATGTGGTGCAAGTTGAGGCTGGCTGGATGGCGGGGTCGAGTGCAGGTGGTGGGCACTTCAAGTATGGATCCCGAGATACTCCCAAAGCAGGGGCGAGCAGGGGACTTCAATCAACCTTGAAGCGAAAAGGAAGTTTGGTGATGTATATTATCCGGTCTCCTGGTAGATCAGAAAAGTAGAAGATATTTATTTCCTTCACTAAATGTTAGCGTAAGTTGATTCTACGGAGGTACTAGACTTAAGTTTCGGTAGACCGACTTTTGGCAGAGTGTTCCCTTCACCAAAATTCATATGGCGCTGTCATTCTGCCAAAAAGCGGTGTACAGTACCGAAACTTAAGTCTGGCACCTCGGTAAGTACTTAAATACTTAAAACACCTAGAACAATTACCTTTATCATACTATCGTTTTAGATTTAATTAATCTAATTATTCCAAATAAATAATATAATATAATAGTTTCTGGCTAAGTTAGGCTAAGATAAAAGAGGTCTCTGCCACTTTTCTTGTCCACCGGGCCGGTCACTCCCTTCTACTTAATTCTTAAGTATCCGAATCTAGTCCTCGAACCATCCAATCACGTCGAATACAAGATGCCCGAAGGCCAACCTAAGGATGGCACCAAATCCCCGCCAGCTTGGAATACTTCCACTGAAATCAAGCGATGATCAACTGAGGCGTACATTCCGTATTCACTCTCGTATGCACAACCGGGTATGTACAGTACCTATCGTCGGATAAGCCGGGATACCTTTCGCATCACATGAAAGGATTACCAAAAAAAGAAGATGGTTAGAAAGATGATGAGACTAGATTTGCGAACAGCAAGCAAGAGATGCAGAGAGAATTTGTATTTTGATTTCGAAGCGAAGGATTTATACAAATAACTATCAACACCACTGCTAGCCCCAGCGTTCTTGCTCATCCATTTTAATATATCGGCTATGAATCTTCTCAAGATCCTTGTAACTCCCTATTTACTGAGGTGAAATATTGCAGGTATCATTATAAACTCCTCAATCCTGGAACACCATGCCAAATCAGAAAACCGCCTATCTTTCATACTTGCTGTGCTGAGAGCTGAGACTACATCCATATCCTTTGGCCGTTCTATATTCATAACGAGTCGTTGCTTTCCCGAGCCAAAACTCCGTCAAAATACCCCTTCTAAACTCAACATTAAATCTCTGCAGCAACGCAACGATTTCAATGCAACGAAGCAGGTAATTCAACGGGAGGTTGAGGGGGTTTCAATTTCTGAGTCTGATTTGCATCCATTTCATTATAAACCGGCATCGGTTTATCGTCGTACTCGGGATAATATTGCTGCTGTCCATTTTTATATGACAATTGAGAAGTTTGAGGTGACCATTGCGGTGGACAGAGGACTTGTGGATGCTGCGGATATTGTTTTTGTTGAAGATGCGCGTAAGCAGAGGGATCATAGGCATGTTTTGGAAATGAACCTGATAGAGGTGGTGTGACGGGAGCTGGCGGCGAAATGGGCGGTGTGGTGAGGTGAGGGCTGTATTGACTATGTTGACTTTGTTGGCTAACTTGGCTCATTTGACTATACCTCACTGGCGGTCGGAGCATCGAGGGCGCATGCGTAGGACGTGGTGAATTTGGCGGTGAATTTTGGGCGGAATATGATGGATTCATGCTTTGTGTCAATCTTCGATTCTTCTCCGCCGCCTCTTGTAGCTGTGTTTTGACCAATAATCTTGCAACAAGAGTTGCTAAAGCTTCTTTCAATTGTTTTCGTACGAATCTGGTGACCAGAAAGTTGCATTTTATCTCAACATCTTCGCGAAGGTACAGTCCGGATATTGGCGCTCCAATTCCCAGCTCCACCGGTTGGACGGGTTCGTGTGGCTCATTCCCCGCCAGTGTCCATTTCTCCTTGATATCGAGACCCATCGGCGCATACACGTGGATTTGCGTTCCCAATGGCAGGTCGTGGAAGCATGCTTTGAAGGAAACTTCGCCAGAGTAGCCCGGGAAATAGGAGATCTTGTCGACGATTTCGTACCAAGTGCAGTGATATTCTTCAGGATTTGCTTCTGGGGGAGGCGGGATCATCCTGCGCGAGGTATGCGCGGGGTTGAGATCGATCATTTCTAGGTGATCATGTAGTGTTGCTAGACCGGTTTCCCTCGAGACGCCCGCTGGGAGCGGCGTTATCGTCGTGAAGATTGTGCGAGGCATTTTGCAGGTATTGCAATGCAATTCAATCGCGTCGCGAGAGCGAGGAAAGAGAGATTCGGACGTTACGGTATTGTTTGGCCTGTTGGAGAATGTTGGCGGGCGTTGGTGTGTACACTATGAGATCAAAGGTTGGGGAGGGAACTGGGCGATTGAGTCAAAAATCAAAGGCTGACGCCAACGACGACATCATCCAGACTTATTTGGAAATAGTACCAGAGTTTGATCCCTTCCTCTGTCAGCATCGCCTTCGGGGGCAGCATGCAGTATGCTGCAACGTGATATAGTGCTGTGCTCACATCACATCGGTGGTTGTGCTGCCCGGATGGCTGAGCTCCACGGCATCTCGCTTGCCGGATGATATCCTCTAGGTCACCCCCTAGCTCAGCGCTAGCATGGCAAAGGCTGACCGTGTACTCGGAATGATCTTGATTGGCACCAATGAAACCCTCTCCCAAGAACCCTAAAATCTGATTTTCTGGAGAATCGGGATCTTCGTAGCTAGCTTTACGCTAACAATCGTCGTGCCCGAGACATCCTTGATGAAAACCTTTTTCTCAGCTCACAAGGGATAATGTATGGGGGTGGAGCGGGGTGGGCATTCAAAAACTGCCGGGCGGTGGGCTTATTTAAGCTTATTCAGCAATCCTTATAAGAAAGGATCTCCTCGCAGTGAACAAGAAAAGCGGCAGTAGCCACTTCTTTACATTCACATAAATAAACTCAAGATGTTTGCTGAAACAAATAAACAATCATCTACCTCCGTAGGGTAATGCCTTTTTGTATGTCCTAGAATTTTCGGATAACTACTTAGCGTGTTCCAAATAAGTTCAATCATGAAGCAGTTGAGATGAGATTATGTTAATAGGAAACGACTTTCTATTACTTTTCTCATGCATCGGGAGGTCCTCGCACAATGCGGGCAAAGTGGTGGAAGATATTGTGTTGTATAGTCTTCCCTCACTCACCAGTATGTAACGGAGCCGGGTGGGCCGGGGTTCCTAATTCTGTACAGTACAGTAAGCGAAAGAAAAAATGGGCTACTGTAAAATAATGGAGCTTGTTTACTTCATGTAACAACTCAGTAAGTCGCGTAGCAATCGATTAATTAGGCGAAAATACTTGGCCATCGCTCTCAGCGTATTAACAAAACTAATCAAATACTCAACGCTACTCAAGTAGTACTCGAGTTAAGTTAAATGAGTATGATTAGGTGCTACTTGAGTACTACTCAACTCAACTACTCGAATTTAATACGCTGATCGCTCTATTTCCATCCACCGAAAACGTTATTGTTCTTAAAGGTTCAAGATAATCTAATCAGCTTTACGAAGGGGTTGGAATAATTGAGAGTTATATGCCTCGTACAATTATTTATCAATAAGGCGTGTGCTGGCAGAGCAACAATCGGGTCTTATATGATTCCAGTGACACGAGCTACCTAGTCACACTAGTACTTTCCTCGCGATGATATTAAGCCAGAACGTGCCTTCCTAGGCTAGCGAAGCATCAATATCTTTTCATAGCGGGTTCATCCATTCACCATTTCGGCGAAAACAGATCAAATTAAGACTCTTTGCTCTAGCCAATCAAATACCGCAGGTTCCGGTGACTTAGACGTCACACCTCCATCACTTTTAAAAATTTATTATCTGCTTGGTATTCGCAGCCCTTGGTGATACAAGACAAACAACCTCCAACAAAAATGGCAGCCCCAAACAAGGACGCAATCGAACATGAGGCGATCGCAACACCATGGAACATTCCGACCACTGGCCCTGGCCGGTTGTGCAGCAACGTAACGGACTTGTGCAACAAGCCAGCGACTTCACTCTGCGCCAGATGCAAGTTCGACAAATACTGTTCTCGAGCATGCCAAAAAGTATTCTGGACGACCCACAAACACCATTGCAAGGCCTGGCCCGAAGAACCCATCCACGAGATCGTTTCCTATGACCCGAAAGATACCAATTATTTCAAAGCCGACCCCGCCATGCCCAAGAGCTTGGATCGCCCAAATATCTACATTGATATCAAAAATCTCGACGGTAAAGAGGGCTGCTTTGATAGTTTAGACTACCGTCTTCGGCACCAATACGCTGTCTATAGTATGCGCCGCAGTATGTTCGGTACATCACGCTACCCCAAGACAATTATCATGGTTGAGCACGAGAACCTCGCAAGCAGTCTACTGAAAATTATCGAGGAGAGTACTTTTGAAGTCTTCACGGCGTGGGATAACATCAAAGACTGGTTTCGTTTTGTCCACGAGGAAACCCCCGCGGCTGACCGGGCTGCAATCTTGGAAACCTGGTCTAAAGTTGAATCTCCAATTCGTATTTTGATTGTCTCACCACTATCGGAGCTAGAATTGATCGTGCCAGATTTGGAAAATTTCATCGTTATATCGTGCGAAGGACCTCGATCCGTGGGACCGAGATGGCAACGAATGGCAAGAATGGCTGGGCAGCATGGGTACTATGGGCAGATTCTCAGACAGGAGAGAGTTGGTGAGGAATACAAGGCTTGGGGGGGTCTTGGTTGTTATCGAAAAAATATCCTAGAACAATAGGCGATGATACTTTGAACTGGATGATAAGACACATGAGTGGAAAAGATTGCGAGCAATCTTTGTGCTTCTTGTAATAACAATGATTTTCTTTACAGAAGTGAATCAATGAATCTTTTGGGTACTCGTTAGTCTTGTAATGAAATCGGTCATCCAAATAAAATTATGCTAGAAATTCCAAAGTAATTATTAGTAGTAAATCTAATTGTCTAGGGTATTTGAACTATTAAAGAATTATTAAAATTAATTATCACACACAGTTAGTATAATTGTTTTGCTTGTGCTAAACCTTTCGAACAGTTTTAATGTGGTATTCGCTTTAACGATCATTTAGTATAGCTTGTTTATATAATTTATTCTAGTTATTAGTTATACTAGATTATTAAGACAATTTACTTTGTAGGCTTTACTTACGAAAGGTATTGTCACTGTAGTAAGGATCTTACTAGAGACAAATATATAGATTATAAAAGAGCCTTACGGAATCTTTTGCTACCTATCACGTCTAAATCCGACTTTGCTAAAAGATCTTGTTGCCATATTTCGCTGTCGCTGCTATAGGGCTATTCGGGATTTCGAAACCCTCAAGTCCAGTTACTACATGGTCTTGCATCCTGGTACCTGACAGGAAGTATTTCACGAGTTAAGTATTTTCAAAGTCCGCTCCTATGGAAAATTCCTTTGATGGGTCTGTTAGTAAGAAAACAAACATAGAGGATAGATAATGCCAGCCGAGACTAGTCACCTCTCCTTTATGTATGTTACTTTAGCATTATACTTCTATCTACCAACTGATCAAACTAATCAGCACGTGTATCACACACAAAGAAGGCTTCATATTTAGAAACACTAGCTTAGAGCCAGTGATAAAGCTTGCAATATAAAAGAAGAAGAATAAAAGCTATACCCAAATATTGTTATACTACTACGGATGTAGTTTCTATAAAAGACGTAATTACTCACCCAAAAATACACTTTGTAACTTTAATTTCTTATAAATATACATCTTAGATAATATCAGATATATGCATCAATAGATAACAAGCGTTTGCTCGCGTGGTGTTGAGAGAAATATAGAGCTGGTGCAAATAACTCACGTGACGCTCGGACCACTAATTAGGCGAGGGGGGAGTCGAAATACCTGCTCCCGAGTAACCGCAAGTTTTGTTAGGGGTGAAAAGGATACTAGGTACTGGCCTCAGCCTCTAATGAAGTTAGTATTTTTAGTACGAGTTATGACGTGCGTTGAATATAGAACTTGGCGGCGTATTTAGTGTTAGACTTATGACGCATCCAACCCATTAGTAAAAAGACGTCATATAATAACGAAAAATTTCCTACCTCGAGTACAAAAACATCCTTCAAAACCCAAATTATTGTACCATCTTTCATCTCCTCCTGCCAACACAGATTCCAAATAACCCAAAGTTGTCGAAATCGATATCAACATGTACAGCTTGACAACCAACGATACGTGTCTTTGCATCCCTAATGGGACATGGAGGCTGCATATAAAGGAACATGTCGCCCCCATTACATCCGATTACACCTTGAGCGATACGGACTATTTTTTGTGTTTTTGCCTTTGGTTGTGTCTTATGTTTGTTGGAATATACTTTCTTGGTAAGTCATATCCCACATAATAAATTAAGAAAATCGGCGAATGGGTACTGAAGATTATGGTCTACTAGTTTACATCCTTGGGAGACTTGATTGGAGCCCATTTGAAGAGGATGAAAAGAAGAGGAATGAAAAGAGGGAAGAGTATGCAGGGCCGATGTCTTTAGAGGACTTTGCGGAAGCATATAAAGGAGTTTGGAGAGAGAATTGGACAAGAAGACGAAGAGCTTCCAGGTAGTGAGTCCTTAGGCGACTTGCTTGTCGAAAGAGGGCTCTACAGAGAGATAATACTTAAATTGTTCGGGGACTCTGTGTTTCGCAAGACTGACTTGGACACGTTATTTCCACCAGGGAGGCCAAGAGAGATGATAAGAGTTCTCCGTACTCTTAGAGATCGTTAGAACCAAAGACTATATCTACCTGCCTATCTTTTTCCATCGCCGTTTCCTAGTGACTACAGAGGGCTGGCGTTCTATATCCAGGCTGCATCTTTGAGTTTGAGTTTATATTCATTTCTGCTATACCCATATAACAAACTTCGCCATAGCAACCTTTTCTGAAGGTGTATCTACTTTATCTAAACAGTCATCCAGACTTGCAGCCATATGGCTTTCCTGAGTCCTTACCATTGGGTCCTGTACCTGATATGTTCTCCGAGGTTGAGGAAACCTGCCTCTTCTTCCTCTGTTTCTTCCTGGCAAGCCATCTGCACAAGCGCCAGCTTGATTTTCCCCCTCTGCTCTTGCCATCGAATCATGGGGCTCAGCCCTAAAGATTTCCTGGTGTAGTTCGGCAACATGCTTGAAACTCTGGG